AATTTTCTTTTATTATTTGTTCAAATAGTTTTTCCACTGGTGGTTGTGTCTTTCCCCCTTCTGGTACCCCTATAATTCGGATATTGGAGCGTTTATAGATGTCCTGGAGGTTCCTAAGCTTCTCCTCATTTTTCTGAATTCTTATTTCTTCATTCCTTTCTGTTTGATGATTTTTTTCTTCTTCCTTCTGGTCCACTCCATTGATTTGAGTCCCAGTTTTTTTTTCATCTCTATGGTTTTCCTGTGGAATTCCATTCATTTCCCTTAATTTAGCCTTCATATGTTTCTCTAATTTGTGGCTATAGTCCACCAGATCTGTGAGGAAGCTGATGACCAGTGTTTTAAACTGTGCGTCTGAGAGATTTGCTATTTCTTCGTCACTTAGATTTATCTGTGGGGCTTTGAGTTCTTCCTGCGACATTTTTGGTCTGTTCTGGCCCTTTAAGTGGGAGGAGCGGCGCCTTGGATTCCCAGGTCGCTGGGTTGTGACGCTGTATGTGGGGGCGTGGTCAGAGCGGGGAAATGGCAATGGCGCCGCCGCCGCCAGTCCAAGCTCTCACTCCCTCACCCGCGTGCAACCATGCAAACTCAGTCAACTCGCTGCCACCGCCTCCCCACTGACTCCTCCGTAGTCGCTCACCGGTGGGCCGCTGGGTTGCTCACTAGGTCCAATCCTGGGTTTGGAACCCGTGCGACTGGATTCGCGCGTCTGGATTCCGCGCCCGGGTCGACTCCTTTGTAACTCCTCACCCGACGCCGGTTTCGCCCCTTACCGGTCGGGCCGAAGAATTTGTTGTTAGCGGACTTCCGAAAAGTTCAGTTTTCCGTGTTCTGGTTGTGTTTTCTGATGCTAATATTTAGTTGTCCCTAAACTTGGTTGTGTGAGGAGGCAGGCACATCCACCTTAAACCTCCATCTTGGCGGAAGTCTCCCCTTTTTATTTTTAAAGATTTTATTTTTAGACAGGAAAGAGAGAGAAGTATCAATGTGTGGTTGCCTCCCCCCTACTGGGGACCTGGCCCATAACCCAGAAATGTGCCCTGACTAGGAATTGACCCAAGTGACCCTTTGGTTCTCAGCCCGCGTTCAATCCACTGAACCACATCAGCCAGGGCTACTACATTTTTTTTTAAATAACTTTTTTTTAATCCTCGCTGGAGGACACTTTTTTATTGCTTTTAGAGAGGAAGGGAGAAAGAAAGAAATATCAGTGTGACAGAGAAACATCAATCAGTTGCCTTCTCATGTATGTACTGACTGGGGATCTAACCTGTAACTTGGCCATGTGCCCTGACCAGGAATCTAACCCCTGACCCTTCAGTCTAGGGGATGGTGCTCCAACCAACTGAGCCACCACGTGGGCCAGGGCTAAACTGCATATTTTAAAGCATTCCTACCCAAAGTATGGCCTGAGAACTAGTGATAGTTTGAGAACTGTTTGTTCCTGTTTGAAACAAAATAATTTATGGTAACTCAGTAGAAGTTTAGAAATGTTATAGCATTTGACATTATAGCTATATTCTTATAGGATTATGAATCTGCAATAGGTTGGTCAAAAGCAAAATTAGTTGTTTACTACAGATAGTTTGAGAAGCACTGTTTTTTTTTCTTCTTTTATTTTATTTTATTATTTATTTATTTTTAGAGGGGAAGGGGGGGAAAGAGAGAGGGAGAGAAACATCAATGTATGGTTGCCTTTTGTGCGTCCCCTGCTGGGAACTGGCCTGCAGGGAACCGGCCTGCAACCCAGGTATGTGCCCTGACTGGGAATCGAACCGTGATCGTGTGGTTCGCAGGCCCGCGCTCAATCCATTTTTCTTCTTAATTTTTAGAGAGAGAGAGGGAGAAAACATCAATGTGTGGTTTCCTCATGTACCCCCCCTGCTGGGGTCCTAATGTACAACCCAGGCATATGCCCTGACGGGAATCGAATCAGCGCCCTTTGCTTTGCAGTCTGGTGCTCAATCCACTGAGTCACTACAGCCAGGGCAGAGAGGCACTGTTTTAAAGGACAATTTGATTCCTCATCAACTACATAAAGTTGTATAAATCTTAGCTGCCTTTATTTATTTTTTTAAATACATTTTATTGATTATGCCATTACAGTTGTTCTGTTTCCCCCCTTCATTCCCCTCCACCCTGCACACCCCCTCCCTCACCATTCCCCCCCTTTAGTTTATGACCACGTGTCTCAAGTTCTTTAGATTCTGTATTTCCCATTAGCTGCCTTTATCGTAAGTTTTCTTTTTTGGACTTTATATGAATTTTGGTCACATTGTGTAGATATAAATTTTGTAAAGTTTCTTTGGGTTAATTTTTAGTGAATAAATTTTATTATTTTGAGTATAGTATTAATAGTTTAAAATTGTCCTTGTTTTTTTTTTTTTCCAAACTTTTTTTCCTCTGGGTCCATTTAGCAATGAACAATGTTACTAAAAACCTGATAGGATAGTGGTATGAAGCTGAATCCAAACTTCCCGACTTCTAGTCAAGATAGCAGTGTAAACAATAAAATAGAATTTAGAAAAAATGTGTCATGGCCCTGGCTGGTGTAGCTCAGTGGATTGAGCGCGGGTCTGCGAACCAGAGTATCTCGGTTACATTCCCAGTCAGGGCACATGCCTAGGTTGCAGGCCAGTTTCCAACGGGGGACACGCAAGAGGCAACCATACATTGTTTCTCTCCCTATCTCCTTCCCTTCCCCTCAAAAAAAAAATGTGTCATGCAGTACAATAATAATAAAGCTGTTTTTTTACTTAGTAAGAAATAAAAACAAACAAAAAAACCTTCCTCAGTTGTCACATTTTTTCTTGTTTTGTGATTGCCAGGTCACTGTTAAAGGGCCAAAAAGATGAGGGAAAGGTGGATGGCAGCCCCTGGCTGGGTGGCTCAGTTGTTTGCTGTGTCGTTCTGTGCCCCAAAAAGGTTGTAGATTTGATCCCTCATCAGGGCACGTGCAGAAGGCAGCTGCTTGATATTTCTCTCTTACATTGATGTTCTCTTTCTCTCTCCCTCTCTTACATTGATGTTCTCTTTCTCTCTTCCTCTCTTTGTAAAATCAGTAATAAAAAATATTCGTGGGTGAGAATTTAAAAAAACAAAAAATAGATAGCAGAAGCTAAGAACTGACTAGATGGTCTGATGAGAAAGCATGTGTGAGGAAAGGGAGGAACAGAGAGAGGAGATCCAAGAACGGTGAAGAGAGAGAACGATTTTGGAGTTTATGGAGAAAGGGCTAAGTGAGATTAGAAAGGAGACTTTGGGAACAGATTTATATTCAGAGGTTTTTAGAATGTTGTGTAATTCCCCTTTTGCTGCTTTTTCAAAAGATCACTAGTAAAGACCTTGGTCACTTTTTGATGTTTTTGTAGTTTATATTTCTTTTACATCTATCACTTCTTTGGGATACATCTCAGGTCAGTTTATTTCTGATGAGGTTACATGAATGTAAGATGTGTGAATTCTACTTTTTTATTCTTTTTTTAAAAAATATTTTATTTATTTATTTTCAGCAAGAGGGGAAGGGAAGGAGAGAGGGAGAGAAATATCAATACATGGTTGCCTCTCATGTGTCCCCCACTGGGAACTGGCCTGCAACCCAGGCATGTGCCCTGACTGGGAATTGAACCGCTATCCTTTGCTTCACAGGCCCGCTCTTAGTCCACTGAGCTACACCAGCCAGGGTTTTACCTTTTTATTCTTAAAAGTCATCAGAAAAATTTTCATGTGATTAGAAACTCTTTGTAGACATTTTTCACTTGTTCTTCCCCACATTCCTTAAAAATACAGTTTTTAATGGCTCAGTTTCATTCCAATGTATGAATGTATCAATGTTCAGTTAACCATTCCTTTAATATTGGACATTTAGATATTTGCCATGTCTTTGCTAAAATAACTAATGTTGAAATTAATAACTTGGTTATTAATGATCTATTTCCCCATCTTTGCATGTCTAATTATCTCCTTGAGAAAAATTATTATTGTATTGAAAGTTATAAACATCAAATTCAAGTGCAAAAGCAATCGTTTGAAGTTACTAATAATTTTCACTTAGTAAATATTGCCAGGGAACATTTGAAGGTCATAAAATCTTCATAACAATGACAACCAACTTGACATTAATCTTCTCTAATCCCTGGTTTTCAGACAGTAACTGATGAAAAGAATCAGAGAGATGAGAACCTCAGTTTGGTGTTTCATGATAATCATTTCAAGACTTACCAGATAGTATTAATCAGGAAGTTTTTCCTTTTCTCTGGTTATATTCTCCTTTCCAAAGAATGGAGATATTTTGTACCTTTTTTTATTTGTATAGTTCATAAGAGTTTTTAAAATTAAGATGATGTAAGCTTTGTTCCTTTTCTCTCTACTGAGTAGTATAATAATTATAGTAAATTACATTTGTATACTGTTTCATTGGGTGTATGGTACTTTGATATATATCATTTAACTTAATTTACATGGCTTTCCTGATCAGCCAAATCTGTATTTTACAAGAGAAACAGAGATTCTATTGTCAAGGTACCCTGTTAAGTTGTAGAACTGGGCCACAAACTCAGTGTTTTCAGTGTATTACCTGGGCAATACAGAGTACTCACTGTGATTCTAGAGCTAGAGCGCTTAGCTTCAAAACATGGTTGTGTCATTACTAGCTCTTGGGAAAGTTTCTTATCTCTTTGCCTCAGTTTTTTTTTCCATCTGTGCAGTGGGAAAAAGAATAGTCCCCATCTAACAAGGTCATTATGAGGACTAAGTGAATTAATATATATAAAGTATGTAGAAGATTGTCTAGAATAAAATAAATATTCAGTGAAAGTTAGCTATTACTACTATGACAGTTCTACCACCTCCACCATTGCCACCACTACCACATCACAGTCTCTGATTTCCAGAGCCAGGCAGCTGGCAGCATGTTTTTCTTTTACAATGTTGCCTTTTGGGGTTAGGTTCTGGGAGCAATTATTCTGGAGATTCTGGTGAAGTTTTTGGTTTATTTGCAGAAGAGCAGGACATTGAAGAAAGTGAGAAAAGGCAGAAAAAGAAAAAAGGTACCAAAAGGAAACGAGATGGGAGGGGTCAAGAAGAAGGGACTTTGACTTATGACCTGAAACTGGATGATGTGCTTGACCGAACCTTAGAGGATGGTGCTAAGCAGCACAATCTGACAGCCGTTAATGTGCGAAACATCCTTCATGTGAGTAATCCTGGGACATCTAGCTATGTAATTGGAACCGAATTTGGGGGGGAAAGCAATAAAAGTACTCAGAAAATTCTTGATTTGTGATTTGTAAATTATTAATTTTGTGAGTTACCTACAGCAAAACATTTTATGTTTCAAGATAACTTTCTTTTTATACTCAGCACAAGTTTGAAATCTAAACACATTAAAGAAGAGCTTAACTGGGAAGATAAACAGTTTCTCTGCTTTTTTTCCCACTGATTTGATTATTTATTGTGTTATGTATGCGATTCAAAGATGAAAATGTTCACATTGGATTTACTCCTTTGTGGGTTAATATGCTCCAAAAGATGTCCAGTTAACAGTACTTTGCACATGTGCAAATACTGTTATTTGATATGTAGTAACACAATTATTTATAAAGCCTTTGTTGCTTATTACTGTTTCTCTTAAGCATGTAGTAACCTCAGAATCTCTCTTAATGACAGCCATTCCTATTCCCTGTAGCAGCTAATAAGATTAGTCTATTTACTGCTACATCGCTTGAAGCTGGGTGTTTTTGTCCAAAACTTGCTTCTTCACTTTCCATTGCCTTGCGTTACTCCAGTCTGAAGCCAATGAAATACCTAGTTATTGGTCTTTACATATATCTAGCAGAATCACAGAGAGATGAATATTATTTAGATGGCACATCTTTGTTGCATGATGTGAAATTTCATCTTTCTCCAGGAAGTAATCACAAATGAACATGTGGTAGCAATGATGAAAGCAGCCATCACTGAGACAGAAGATATGCCAATGTTTGTGAGTAGTTTATCAATTTTTTAGTATCATAGATCAGAGCCACCTGTCAACTGGCTATGTGTAGGAGGCCACTGTAAATAGTTTGACAGTTGGGGGTAAAGTTAGCATCTCAAAACCCAAAAATCACATGATGATATTTATTGTCTCTTTTCTTCTCATTTTCCCCTCTTTAGGAGCCCAAAATGACACGCTCTAAACTTAAGGAAGTGGTAGAAAAAGGAGTGGTGAGTGTTCTGTTTTTTCTTTATTGTTTATTTAGGTTGGTAAATAAGATGTAACTTCAGGTTATTTGTAGAGAAAAATTGAAAGTGGTCTGGATTTGCTTCCTTAAAGATTTATAAAAGATAAGTAAAGACAGAATATATAAAATCATTATCATACTTTATTTTTATTTTAGTTGATGTGGAAATACTGATTTTTTGGAAGCACTAGATAGAGAATCATTTAGAATTGTTGAAAGCAATGAGAGGGGTCAGTTTTTCTATTCATGTTACACATGGCAGTGTTGAGAGTAGGAGTTTTTAAAGTATATCCCAGGGACCACATGCATCAAGATTGCCCAAGTGTGGGTTCCCAGGAATGTTTATTAAAAATGAACATTCTTGGGCTCACCTTAGACCTAGAAATGGGGACCCATAGGTAGGGCCTGGGAATATTTATTGTTGAAAACATACTAGTTCTGCCCTGGCTGGGCTCAGTGGAGGCAAACCCAGGGCACATGCAGTTTAGGGCCAGGTCCCTGGTTGGAGGTGTGTGAGAGGCAACCACACATTGATGATTCTCTCCCTTTCTTTCCCTCTCTAAAAATAAATAAATAAAATCTTGTTTTAAAAAAAAGAAGAAGAAAACATACTAGTTCTTTTTTTTAAGGTTTTTTAAAAGATTTTATTATTTATGTATTTTTAAAAATATTTTTTAAAATTTATTTTTAGAGAGAGGGGAAGGGAAGGAGAGAGTGGGAGAGAAACATCAATGTGTGGTTACATCTCATGTGTCCCCTGCTGGGGGACCTGGCCTGCAACCTAGGCATGTTTCCTGACTGGAAATTGAACTGGTGACCCTTTGGTTAGCAGGTTGTCACTCAATCTACAGAGCCACACCAGCCAGGGCTAAAGATTTTATTATTTATTTATTTTTAGTGAGGGAGGAAGGGAGGGAGAGAAACATTGATCAGCATATTCTCCAGCACACCCCCAACCAGGGACCTGGCCTGAAACCCGGGCATGAACCCTAAACAGGAATCAAAGTGTCAGCCTCTCAGTTTGCAGGCTGGCACTCAATCTACTAAGCCACACCAGCCAGGGCCATACTAGTTTGTTCTTTTGCACACTAAATTATGAGAACCAGTTGAAGACTTCTGAAGTATTTTGGCACAGCAAGGTCTTCAATGCTTGGAACCATGTTATATCCCAATTAACAACAACCACTTGTTCAATTTGTGCTTACCTTCTGTGACAATGCAGGGGATAATTCTGAGGGAGTCCATTCTATCTCTGATAGTAAGGAAGGTGACCCAAAATGCTGTTACAATTTTTGTCTCATTCTTTGGTTCAGTTCCTTGCAACCCTGTGCAAGAAATGTATGTTCCTCTTCCACATGACCTTTCCCCTAGTTGAAGAAATCTAATATGTCTTCTTGTAACATTCTTTTCTTACTAAATATCCTCCAATTTTGTATTAGTCTTGTGTGACTGTTCTTTGTATACCTTTACAGACACCCTTAATGTGCCTAGTTTGTCTGTATCCTTTAACAATATGCCAGTAGTGGGATTTACTGCTCCAGATGTGAGTTAACTACTACAGATCAAGGTTAGGTTATCCCCTCAGTGTTCCAGATACCATATTTCTCTCTTTAAAAAAAATTGATTAATTGATTTTATTTATTTCAGCTTTAATTTAATTTTATTTACTTAGAGAGGAGAAGGGAGGGAGAAAGAGAGGAAGAAAAACATCAATGTGCAAGAGATTCAGTTGCCTCTTGAACACTCCCAAGTGGGGACCTAGCCCACAACCCGGGCATGTATCCTGACTGGGAATCAAACTGGTGACCTTTCAGTTCACAGGCTGGCATTTGGTCCACTGAGTCACAGCAACCAGGGCTTATTTGTTGATTTTAGATAAAGAGAAGAAGAGAGGAGGAGAGAGAAACATTGATTTGCTGTTCCACTTATTTATATATTTATTACTGGTTTCTTAGATGTGCCCTGACCAAGGATCAAATATGCAGTCTTGGCATATCTAGACAATGCACCAACCAACTGGCTACTCGGCCAGGGCCCCATATTTCTCTTAATGCAACCTGAGTTTGCACTGGCTGGGTTTTGTTTGTGTTTTTTGTTTTGTTTTGTTTTGACAGCCACATCATGTTTTTTGGTTTAATCATCTAACCTTGGTTGCATAAAGTGAAATGTCATCTTTCTGCAGGAAATTACACAAACGAACATGTGGTAGCGATGATGAAAGCAGCCATCATTGAGACAGAAGTATATGAAGTCTGCCTGACACACAGAGTATATTTAACATTAATTCCATGTTTGATTTGGAATAAAAGACCAAAGAGATCCAAGTCAGGCTCTGGATTATGTTTATCAACCATGAATACAGGTGTAGAGAAGTTGTACAACCCAAGACTATAGTTTATTACTGTATGTGGGAGAACAGGATTAGAGTCCCTATTGTTTCTTTTTAGATTTTGACTTTTTTTAATCCTCATCCTAGGGGATGTTTATTGATTTTAGGGAGAGAGAGAGAGAAAAACAAAGATGTGAGAGAGAAACATCAGTTGGTTGCTTCCCATATGTTCTCCGAACCTGGGAATTGAACCGATCCATAACCTAGCTATATGCCCTGACTGGGAATTGGACCTTAAGAGCTTTTGGTATATGGGATGGTGCTCCAACCAATTGAGCCACCTGGCCAGGGCCCTCTTGTTTCTTAATGCTTAATAGACTGACTCCAATGTACTTCCAGATGCTGCCTTGCCTTCCTGATGGATTTGACAATAGGGAAACTGATTGATTCAGAAACAAACATGGGAAGGGGTGTGGACCTGAATCACATCATCCCCTGGACATTATACAGTCCTAGCTACACAGAGCTAGATAAGTGACCAGAACATGGGGCTAAGGAGATGTGAAAAACCTGAGGTTCCTTGTAGAGACAGAACCTAGTGGCCTGTTGGGTTTTGTTCATAAGGTGATTTTGATTGGGTCATAATTAATGGTCAAGAAGTTATACGCTCCAGTGGTACTTTGTCAGTATTATGTAGGAGTGTTAGAAAATTCTTTAAAAGACTTTCCCCCCTAACTCTGCTGTTTAAAAACACATGCAAAAAGTTAAAATAATTGTAGTGAATCTGTATTCCATCTACATTTAACAATTGTAAATTTTATCATATTTGCTTTATGACTCTCTATATATCTATCTATTTTTTCCTGTATTATTTGAAAGTAAGTTGTGGACAACTTGACACTTTACCCCTAAATCCTTTCATAATAACTATTTATGGCTGGCTTTTTGGAGAAACAATTAGGGTAGATTTATGTAATTGAGTATAAAAAATACTGATGTCAAAAGGCTACTATCACCTATAATATTGTAGTTTATAGTAATTTTCACATTCATTATTCCATGTGAACCTAAGCTGTGGTATAAAGTAGGCAAGACAGATACAGAACCTTACTAGGTTTAAGGCAAAAATGCTAATGATGGAAGTAAAGTCTTCTCTCCTTTTGTTTTGTCAAGTTCTGATAAATACAGTAGTTGAGAGTATACTCTGAGGGATAATCAGTACTCTAGCTTAATGCAGCTCCATGGTAGGTATGGCTCTTTGGGATGGTAAAGAGGAAGTAAAAAACAAAAACAGTTTATTTCAGATAAGAGAACTTAATAATTTATATTCTTTGTTGGTAGGTAATTCCAACATGGAATATTTCACCAATTAAGAAGGCCAGTGAAATTAAGGTAAACTTGGAAGAGGTAATTCTTATTCTTTTCCAGAAAGAATTAATCAGTTTTGAAACCTAAGTACTTTGTATTTGTTAACATTATGGGGCCTTTTGATTTAAGGTTTTAAAATTCCAGCTTTAGTTTTTTTATTCTGTTACTCCTAGGTTTGACTTTCTTGCTAGGCATGTCTTTAAATCCTGCTTGTTGCTACCTGTTTTAGCTCACTGTGCTCTTCAGATTTTTTTTTTCCTGCTCTGCCTTTTCCCCATTATTTTCCACATACATTCGATTTATGTCTCCTATTTACTCCATTTCTCTCTGCATTGTATTTATGAAGCCGCCTCAGTTTGTGGATATTAACCTTGAAGAAGATGACTCCTCAGATGAAGAGTACCAGCCAGATGATGAAGAAGAAGATGAGACTGCAGAAGAGGTCAGTGGTGACACTCGTGAGTGTTAGTTGATAATACAGGAAAAATTGGCTCAATAAGGCAGAATGTATCTTGCTTCCTTACTAAGATCACCTGTTCTTTTTTTTTAAAGATTTTACTTATTTATTTATTTTTAGACAGAGGGAAAGAGAGGGAGAAAGAGAGAAACATCCGTCAGTTGCCTCTTGCCAGCCCCCAGCTGAGGACCTGGCCTGAAACCCAGGCATGTGCTCTGACCAGGAATCGATCCATCAACCTTTCAGTTTGCAGGCCAGCGCTCAGTCCATTGAGCCACAATAACCAGGGCATCACCTGTTTTTTTTTTTTTTTTTAAAGTCCTCTTTTTTTTTTTTTTTTTAAGATTTTATTTATTTATCTCTAGAGGGGAAAGGAAGGAGAGAGGGAGAGAACTGGCCTGCAACCCAGGCATGTGCTCTGACTGGGAATCGAACCGTGGTTGCTTGGTTCCCAGGCCCGCGCTCAATCCACTGAGCTACACCAGCCAGGGCTACCTGTTTTTTATTATACTCATTGTTTGCACAAACCCAAGACTGTGAAGTGTTTTCTCTTCACACTCTTAATTTTTCACGTCTTGTATTATGAAATATAACACATATATAACATACAGAACTATACATAGAAGAAAAATAAAAATATACACCGTAATTATGAAGGTATTTCTCATGAAATTTCTTGAGTCATTAAACATTGCCAGGATACCCCTTATTTGCCCTTCCTAATTATAATCATTTCTGTTCCCCTAAAAATAGCTATTATCCTGATTTTTTGATAATTACTTTCTGTTTTTTCTTTATAGTTATTATCACCTAAATGTGCAGTTCTACACACTATAGTTCAATTTTTTACTGTCTCTGAACCTTATATAAATGGACCCATAGTGTATGTATTCTTTTGTATCTGACTTTTTTGTGTGTGCAACATTAATCCTTTGAGATACTATTGCTTGCAGCTATGGTTAATACTCATTTTTGTGTAATATTATATTTTTAATGTGTTCTTTGAATTGTCTGTAAAAGGATTTTAAATGAATGCCTTATAATTTTACAAAGTTGCATTGCTGATGAGCACAGTGATGTGACACCTTCAGAATATTAAGCTTCTATTTACATTCTGTTTTCCTTTATTCTGACTAATTGAGTGATTGATATTTTGTGATTTCATTCTCTCGAGGTACTTGAGACTCAGTGGAATAAGGTAGAGGCATAAATACAAAAGTGAACTGGGTTTCTTTTGTAGAGTTTATTGGAAAGCGATGTTGAAAGTACTGCTTCATCTCCACGTGGAGCAAAGAAATCCAGATTGAGACAGTCTTCTGAGATGACTGAAACAGATGAAGAGAGTGTCATATTATCAGAGGTGAATCTGCATCATACAAAAGAGATAAGTTATAACTGTATAAATAGATTATTTCTCCATGGTGATTATGAGCTATTACCCTTTGCCAAACATGAATCAAGATCAGTAAGCATGCCACTATCTTCCTAGTGTTTTTGACTGCTTATAACTGTTCAGATTTCAAAGTCTCTTAAGTCATTGAACATTTAAGAGAAAACTGAGCTCAGTGATAGGGAGAGAGCTTTTCTGAGTTCTCATTAAGGGACCAAATATGAGTGATTAGCAGAGTTTCTTTTTCTTTTGTCTTTTTCATACCTCTTTTCTGATGTTGTCCTAAAGCCATTTTTATTAGATTCCCCACTTTTTGGTAACCTAAGTAGCATCCTGTTGGCTTCATTGGAAATAGCACAATTCCTAATTAGATTAACATATTTGACAGTCTTTGTTTTCATGTGCCTCTCTCTCCCCACTTTTTCCCCCTCTCTTTTTCACTCCCTTCCTGTTTATTTTTTTTATGTGCTTGCATCTTTTAATCAGGCTGAGAAAGTCACCACGCCTGCCATCAGGCACATCAGTGCTGAGGTAGTGCCCATGGGGCCCCCGCCCCCGCCAAAACCCAAACAGACCAGGGATAGTACTTTCATGGAGAAGTTGCATGCTGTGGATGAGGAACTGGCTTCCAGTCCGGTCTGCATGGATTCTTTCCAGGTAAACATAATTCTGAATTGCTGAGAAAGTCAAATTGAATTGTTTAGTTGTTGCTCAGGTTGGGAAGGGAGAAAGGAAGATGCTAAATTCTGTTATAATAAGAAATAGTTATGAAATTTTAGGTCTTTGATACTCTTATTTGGTTTGTACTATTTTATTGTGAGAATGGCAACTCCTAAGGGAGGGGTAAGGTATGCAAAAGAGCATTTTGAAATGCGGAACATAGGAACCACCACAGCCAGATTCCCTCAGTACTAGCCTTGACCACAACTGCCAGTTTTCTCCCTCTTTCTCACTCTCTGCACACATGTGTTTTTTCCTGAATCACTTCAGAGCGTGTGGCGATTGTGATGCCGTTTGACTCCTAAATACTTTAATGTGTATTTCGTAAAAATGAGGACGTTCAGTTAGGAAAATAAAGACACAGAAATGTAATTTAATCTATTAAAGGTCTAGTTTAGATTTTACCATTTGTCCTACTAATGTCCTTTATAGAAAAATACTTTTTTTTTTTACTCACACAGGAGCCAAGCTAGAATTATGTGTTGTGTTTAGTTGTGTTGTCTCTTAGTCTCTTTTAATCTGGAAGAGTTTCTCAGTCTGTCTTTTCATAGCTTTAATATTTTTTAACTGTATAGACCAGTATTTTATAGAATGTACCTCAATTTTGGTTTTTCTGATATATCGTCATAATAGGATTCAGATTATACATTTTTGGCACAAATACCATGGCAGCGAGGTATCCTTTTTAGTATAATATATTATATCAAGAGGCATATCACATCTCTCATGTTAATTTTTTATCACGTTTCAGGTGGTTACTACTTGATTTCCTCACTGTAAAATTATTTTTTCTTGCATTTTAAAATTAATTAGTATGTTTTTTATGAGGATATACTTTGAGGACAAACATCTTTTTACCCTCTGCTTTTATAATCCATTACTTATTCTTGTTTGAAATAATCATTACCTTGGTCATTATCAAATGATGACTTTCTAAATTTCATCAGTTTTTAATATTCTAAATTTTCCCCGCCAGTCTTATAGGTCAGTGAAAACTGTGTCTGTCCTAAAATTTAAAAACAGTATTAAATGGAATCGCTCTCAAAAAGGTTATTAAACTTAATCACGGTGCTTTGGAGTGATTGAGTAGTTGTGTTAGGGGCAGTAGTGTTTTATATAACCATTTATTCATACACATACTTAATGACTGAAGTTGGGGAATAACAGTGCATAAGAAAGAAAATGTCCTTCTTGTTTGGACCTTACAGTCTGTTGGGGAGAGAGAGACCATAAACACATAAATCATTTCATGTAGTGGTAAAGTGCTGGGAACTAAGGGAAAACAAGGAAAGGAGGTAGTGCCTGTGAGAGTACTTTACATAGCATGATCAAGAAACGGCCTCTTGAGGAGGAGGTATTTGAGCTGAGATCTGAATGAGAAGGAGCCAGGCTTCTAAAAGATCTGGGGGAAAGGGTTCATTCAGGGGAAGCAGCACATTCAGAGTTCCTTGTGTGAACAGGCCTAGCGGAGTCAAGGGATAAAAACTGGCTCCCCCATTGGGATCATGGGAAGTAGTAGCAGGAGTGGAGTCAGAGAGCTAAGCAAGAATGGGAGATCATGAGGGTTTTGGAAAACCATGATAAAGAATTTAGACTTTATTTTAATACTTAGAAAAGCTTTTTGTGATATTTTATTGTTTTAAATAATGTTTTATTTTTCAATTACAGTTGACATACAATATTATATTAGTTACAGGTATATAACCCACTGATTAAACATTTATATAACTTACGAAGTGATCATCCCAGTAAATCTAGCACCAACCTGGTACCATTCATAGTTATTACAATATTGTCGACTATATTCCCTTTGCCGTGTTTTATATCCCCATGACTGTTCTGTAACTGCCAATTTGTACCCCTTAATCCCTTCATCTTTTTCACCATTCCACACAATCCCCCTCCCATCTGGCAAATGTCAAAATGTTCTCTGTATCTATGATTCTGTTTCTGGTATTCTTGTTCATTTATTTTGCTTTTTAGATTGTACATATAAATGAAATCATATGACATTTGTTTTTCTCTAACTTATTTCGATCAGCACAATTAGGTTCATCCATGTTGTCGCAGATGTCAAGATTTCATTCTTTCTTATCACTGAGCCATATTTCACTGCATACATGTACCTCTCCATCTTTATACATTTATCTATTGATAAACACTTAGGTTGCTTCTGTATCTTGGGTATTCTAAATACCCAAGAACATATGGATGCATATGTCTTCTTAAACTTGATCTTAGCTCAAAAGCTGAAAAGTGATGCATGTGTATTTTTGATGTAGTGATTTAGGTTTCTTTTTTTAAAAACTATATTGATTATGCCATTACAGTTGTCCCATTCCCCCCTTCATTCCCCTCCACCCTGCACACCCTCCCCCACCATTCTCCCCCTTTAGTGTATGACCACATGTCTCAAGTTCTTTAGATTCTATATTTCCCCTACTATTCTTGCCCTCCCCCCTATCTATTTTCTACCTACCATCTATGCTACTTATTTTCTGTACCTTCTCCCCCCTTCTCCTCCTCTCCCCTGTTGCGAACCCTCCATGTGATCTTCATTTCTATGGTTCCACTCCTGATCTAGCTGTCCTCTTAGTTTGCTTTTGTTTTGGGAGTGGCTGTTAATAACTGAGTTTGCTGTCCTTTCACTGTTCATCTTTTTTATCTTCTTTTTCTTAGATAAGTCCCTTTAACCTTTCATATAATAAGGGCTTGGTGATGATGAACTCCTTGAACTTGATCTTATCTGAGAAGCACCTTATCTGCCCTTCCATTCTTAATGAAAGTTTTGCTGGATAGAGCAATCTTGGTTGTAGGTCTTTAGATTTCATGACTTGGAATACCTCTTTCCAGCCCCTTCTTGCCTGTAAGGTCTCTTTTGAGAAATCGGCTGACAGTCTGATGGGGACTCCTTTGTAGGTGACCCCTTATCTCTTGTTGCTTCTAGGATTCCCTCCTTCATTTTAATATTGGCTAATGTAATGATGATGTGGCTTGGTGTGTTCCTTCTTGGGTCCAACTTCTTTGGGACTCTCTGAGCTTCCTGGATTTCCTGGAAGTCTATTTCCTTTGCCAGATTAGGGAAATTCTCTTTTCTTATTTGTTCAAATAAGTTTTCCACTCGTGGCTGTTCCTCTTCCCCTTCTGGTACCCCTATAATTCGGATGTTGGAGCATTTAAAGATGTCCTGGAGGTTCCTAAGTCCCTCCTCATTTTTTTTGAACTCTTGTTTCTTCATCCTTTTCTGTTTGGTCATTTTTTTCTTCCTTCTCCCCCCTTTGATTTGAGTCCCAGTTTCCTTTCCATCACTATTGGTTTCCCGTGCATTTCCTTTAATTTCAATTAGTTTAGCCTTCATTTCTTCCTCTAATTTGGCCTGTTATGTATGAAGAGCGGAGCCTTAGGTGTTCATCAGGGCGGGCCGCCCAGGTTGCTGGGTTGTGGCCCTGTATGTGGGGGTGGGGTCAAAGAGGAGCAATGGCGGTCCCCTCTGCTGCTCCCTGCCGTTGGGGCCTGCGAGGTCTGTCTCAATGCTCACCCCTTTGTTGGTTTTCTGTGTGCAAATGTGTGACCGGGGTCAGCCCTTCACCTTGTACCTCACTGGGTCTACCCGTTGCTACCCCATGCCTGGGATCCGCCAACTGCCACCCATGTGCCTGGGTTGGTCTGGCCTAGTTTACCTGCACAACCCCGCTCCGCCAGTTGCTGGCTCTACCCCTCTTATCGGTCTGGCTGAAGGGTTTGTTGTTGTCGGACTTCCGTATAGTTTAATTTTCTGTGTTTTGGCTGCATTTTTTGTTACTAAACTTTGTTGTCTTTAAACTTGGTTGTGCGAGAAGGCACAGTGTTTCCACCTACGCCTCCATGGGGAAGTCCCAGGTTTCTTCGGATAAATACCCAGGAGTGGATTTGCTGGGTCTTTTGATGTCTTGTTATATAGCCTTTGTTTTAAAGTCAGTTTTGTCTGGTATATATATTGCCACCCCAGCTTTTTTTGTTTCTGTTTTCATTTTCATGAAATATCTTTTTCTATCACTTCACTTTTCCATCTGTGTGTCTTTCAATCCAAAATGAGTCTCTTGTAGAGTCTCATTGTGTGCAAGGGCCTTGATTTTTTTTTTTAATCCATTCAGCCTCCATGTATTTTTTGATTGGAACATTTAATCCATTTGTATTTAAAGTATTGTTGATAGACCCTGGCCAGGAGCTCAGTTGAATGGAGCATCGTCTGCACACCCCACAGTTGTAGGTTTAATCTCTGGTTAGGCCACCTACAAGAAGCAACTAATGAATGCATACAATACATGGAATAGTAAATCGATGTCTGCCTCTCTCTCTCTCCCTCTGTCCCCCTCCCTCTCCCTCCCTCTCCCTACCTCTCCCTCTCCCCCCTCCCCCCTTCTTTCCTGTCTCTCTCTAAAATTAATAAATAAAAATTAAAGTAATTGTTGATTCCCAGTCAGGGCACATGCCTGGGTTGCAGACCAGTTCCCTGCAGGCCAGTTCCCAGCAGGGGACGCATGAAAGGCAACCATACATTGATGCTTCTCTCCCTCTCTTCTTCCCTTCCCCTCTAAAGATAAATAAATAAAATCTTAAAAAAAAAATTAAAGTAATTGTTAATAGATATATATTTATTGCCATTTTATTATTCATATTCAGGTTCTCAATGACGGTTATTCTGTAGTTGTTTTTTTTTAAGATTTTTTCTTTATTTTTAGAGTGAGGGGAAGAGAGGGTGAAAGAGAGGGAGAGAAACATCAATCAGTTACTTCTTGCACACACCCTCACCGAACTTACAGCCCAGGCATGTGCCCTGACCAGGAATCAAACCAATGACCCTTTGCTTTGTGAGATGATGCACAACAGTGCTAAACCAGTCAGAGTAGAACACAAAGAATTTTTAGAGTAGTGAAAGCATTCCATATGATACTGTAATGGTTGCTACAGGTATCCAAACACATAGAATATACAGCATGGATAGTAAGCCCTAATATAAACTAGGAATCTGACCCGCAATCCAGGCATGAGCACTGACCAGGAATCAAACCTCAAACCATTGGCATTTGAGCCAGTGCTCAATCTACTGAGCCATATCAGCCAGGGCTGTTCTGTAGTTTAGTTGTAATTTTGATATGGTTGTAGGAGGATGCCAGTACCGCATTTATATACTTTGCTATCTTTACTAGATGGCCTTTTGGTGATATTTTCTGACTGATGTTAAAAATTTCCCTTTGGTTAGGGTATAGTAGAGCCAGAGCAGAAACAGATCTGTTGGGAGTTGCTATGGTAGTCTAGGGAGGACTTTCTAAATTGATCTGCAAATTCAGTACAATTTCTCTCTAAATTGCAGTTGCTTTCTTTTTACAGCAATTGGAAGCATATCCTAAAATTCACATTGAAATGAAATGGGCGAGAATAGCCAAAACAGTCTTTAAAAAGAACTGAGTTGGAAGTCTGTACTTCCCAATTTCAAAAGTTACTACAAAGTTAAAATTATCAAGACAGTCTAGTACTGGCATGAGAACAGACGTATTAGATTGATAAAATAGAATTCAGAGTCCAAAAATAAATAATTGCAATGGTCAGTTGATTTTTGACAAGTGTGCCAAGACTGATTAATGAAGAAAGAGGAGTCTTTTCAACAAATGGTACTGAGACAACTGGAAATCCACGTACAGAAGTATAAAGTCCGAGTCAGACCTTTACCTGTGCCATACGCAACAGTTAAACTAGATCATTGACCTGAATTTTAGAGCTAAAACTATAAAGTCTTAGAAGAAAGCATAAGAGTAAATCTTTCTAATTTTTGATTAGGCAGTTATTTCTAAAACCAAAAGCAAAAGTGACAAAAGAGAAAATAGATACATTGTGCTCATTAAAATTAAAAACTTTGTGCTTCAAAGGGTACCATCACAAAAGTGAAGGCAACCCACAGAATGAGAAAATAATTGCAAATCACATATCTGAGAAGGGAGTCATATCCATAATACATAATGAACTCTTATAATTCAACAGTAAAAAGACAACCCAATTAAAAACCGGGACAGAAGGGAGAGTTTTGAGGGGGATGGCTGAAAAAGGGAAAGGGGTTGAGGTGTACAAATTGCCAGTTGTTAAAACAGTCAGGGGTTGTAAAGTACAGCATAGGGAGTATAGTCAACAGTATTTTAATGAGTATGTATGGTGTCAAATGGGTGCTTGACTTTTTGAAGTGGTCACTTTGTAAGTTTATATGAGTGTCTAATGACTGTATCATATCCCCAAAACTAATGTGCTGTATGTCAGCTATAGTTGAAAAAGTAAAAAAAGATTTAATGGGCAAAGGATATGAATAGACATTTCTGCACAGAAGGTATACAAATGGCCAATAAGCACATGAAAAGATACTCAATATTGTTAGTCGTTAGGGAAGTGCAAATCAACACTCCAGTGAGATACAAATTCACACCCACTAGGACTGCTGTAATTAAAAAAGTGTTCAATAGCAAGTGTGGGTAAGGATGTGGAGAAAAGTGGAACGCTCTAGGAACGTGAAATTGTGTAGCTTCATTGGAAAATGATTTGGTGGTTTCTCAAAAAGTTAAACATAGTTACCATATGACCCAGAAGTTCCTTGGCAAAGTAATTGAAAACATGTAAAAATGTGTACACAAATGTTAATAACATCATTATTCATAATAGCCCCAAAGTGGAAACAACTCAAATTTTCATCAATTAACACAAATAAACCAAAAATTTATATATATAATGGAGTATTGTTTTGCAATAAAAAGGACAAAGTATCGATACGTGCTAAAAAATGGTTAAACTTTGAAAACATTATGCTTAAGTAAAAAAAAGCCAGAGACAAAAGGCCACATATTTCATTTATATGAAATATCCAGCATAAGCAAATCCATAGAGATGGAAAGTGGACTAGTAGTTATCAGAGACCGGATGAGGGTGAGACTAGGGTTGGGAGTGGCTGTTAATGGAAATGGGAGTTCTTTTGGGGGTGAAGAAAATGTTCTGGAATTAGTGTGGATGGTCACACAACTCTGTGAATATAGTAAATAGTAAAATTCACTCAATTTTATACTTAAAAAGTGAATTTTATGATATGTAAATTAGAGCTTAATAAAGGTGTTATAAATGTCCCTGAAATGTGGGTTTTAAAGTTGATGTCATTGTCCTTATAGTTTCTCAGAGAATAATAAATCCAAATTGTTTAAAGAAGACACTTTGGCATTTTAGGTAAGAAGAGAAGCACAGAGGATATGATGAGGGCTGGAGAATTTGGAAGTACTAGGCATTCAGTGACATGTTTTTATTTCCTTCTCCATTGCCTAGCCAATGGATGACAGTCTCATCGCATTCCGAACCCGCTCTAAGATGCCTCTGAAAGATGTTCCCCTGGGGCAACTAGAGGCAGAGCTCCAGGCTCCAGACATCACACCAGACATGTATGACCCCAATACAGCAGACGATGAGGACTGGAAGATGTGGCTCGGGGGACTCATGAATGATGATGTGGGGAATGAAGGTAAGTAGTTTTGTTTGCATTTATGATGTATTCTGTGGATTATTTCTGTGGTAAAATTTTCATTAGCTTAAAGGAGTATTTTTGGTTAATTGAATTTTATTTTATATTTACCCAACAATTTACATTAAATCAGTAGTAAATTCTGCACCCCTTCCATTTTTGGTTAAGAATGTTCCCAAACATTTTTTGAATGCTAAGAATCCTCCCCTGAACCATAAATGCACACATAATTTTATATACCATTTCATGAGAGTACGTTGATTGACTCAGACTATTGTGTGTGTTAAGGTTCTTTATCAAGTAGGTAAAAGAATGCAAAATCCCAACTTGCCGGAAGATCAAATGAAACCAGACTTTGTGAAGGTCAGAAAAACCTGCAGTAGAATCGAGGTCCTGTTAAGACCCTCTTTCCCTCTCTGTAGTCTTCATCTCTACTTCTTTTGTCAATCGACTCTATTATCAAACACGGTTTTTTCTATACAGCTTGAACTATGGTCATAAGCGCACCATCGACTTCTTGCTTTTTCCCCAGTTCAGAAAGATTCTCTCCAACAGGCTCCAGTTGGAAAATCCAGGGGAACAACTCAGATTGGCTCGGTTTGGTCACATGCTTACTCTCTTGGTGTTGCATGAGTTTGATAGGGAGATTCTGTGAGCACGAAGCCCTGGGATTGACATCACCCAACACAACAATGTGATTGGACTGTGCTGTTCCTCAAAAGAAGTGATAGTTGTTTCCAGAAGTGGGGAAGGAATATTAATCAGACAAAAATAGCATTGACTACAGTCATACATGATGTAGGAATCCCTACCATAACCCTTATTTTACAATATAAGAAAAATTCCTATTTTAATAGGTGAAATAAACATTATTAAAACTGTCTTTTGTAATTTTTAAACAGTGTACTGTAGTGGAAATCAGGCATTACATCATCTTGTGCAATATACTTTGTAACTTTGTAGATTTAGAAGCTGTGAGATTGACTTAATATGTAGTGATCTCAGATGTCACATTCTTTTGATGGAATCAGGACAGTTTCATTAGTATTGTTATTTTTGTTTTGTTTTGTTTTACTTTTTTCGAAGGGAATGACGAGAATATTTTCATCCGTTGTGTTATGTAGGAGTCACAGTTGTTAAAAAAATTTGTGTATCCAAACCAAGGCCAATCAGTCCAGTTATATTTTTATATGATCAGAGGCCTGCATTATCTCACTTTAATCTGTAGCCAAATCCATTTCTGCTATTTCTGAATCATATCATATCCTGTCAAATTTAATTACAAACAACTTACACAGCACATCTTTACTTCTTTCCTTGTCTTTTAAAACTACCATAAGATTTAGCCCTGGCTGGTGTGGCTCAGGGAATTGAATGCTGGCCTCTGAACCAAAGGGTCACTGGTTTGATTCCCAGATAGGGCACATGCCTGGGTTGCAGGCCGGGTCCCCGGTTGGGAATTCATGAGAGAGAAACTGATGTTTCTCTTCCTTCCCCTCTCTAAAAATAAATAAATAAAGTCTTTAGTAAAATAAAATTACCATAAGATTTATGTGTTGAAAAGAATAATGCTTTAAGGTACAGAACAAATAATTTGGATGGAAATAGACTGAATAAATGTTTGGTTGCCTCCTGTACATGCTCTGAGTACTGCCTCTGGGTATTGAACCCGTAACCTAGGTCTGTGCCCTGACCAGGAATCAGACCCCCAACCTTTTGGTGTTATAAGATGGTATTCAACCAACTGAACCACCAGCAAGGGCATCCTTCAATGTATCTCACAAAGCTATTAATAATTATATTGTACATCATTTGATAAATGTTTATCAAGTACTTTACTTTTACAAGGCATTATGCTAATATCTGGCAGATGAAGGAGCATAATCATCTTGTCAGGAAGTAAAGTGTATGATTGTTGCCTGGTCCATTATTAGATATGCAACACATTTGGGGTGAATAAAGTTGAATAAACTCAGGTACACCATAAAAGTGGCGTAACAACTGTTCTAAGGACCAGGAAGAGGAAGAAAGAGGAAGAAAGGATTCTTGTTTAGGGTGATCTGAGGAGGGGGTGGTTGAGGTGGGCCTTTGAAAGATATTTCACAACAGTTACATTTGCCAGCAGTTATGTTGATGAGGCAGATGACTGGAAGTGACGTGAGATAATGTGTGCTATGGGTTCTGTGAGATGTCCTCCCAGGAATTTTTCTGTATTATATACATGCTTGGTGTAAAGAAATCAAGTACAGTAAGTCCTCACTCAACATGATTGATAGGTTGTGCAAGTTCAAGTGAAACAACCATGAGATGAAACCAGTTTTTCCATAGGTTAATTGATGTAAACAAGAGTTAAGTTCCTATATCATATCAATGTAATAACAAAAGGCCTACCATTGACAAAATGATGTTTTTTGACAACTTGCTGTATTATGTAATGAAAATCATAAAAGCCCTTCTTCATGATGACAATTTCATACCCCAGAGGGATCACTGGTAATATTTTGATATGCATCTCTAAGAGTTTTCAGATAAGAAGTTACCTTTTAGTTTTCTACAATAATGTAGAAATAGGAATAATTTAAGTCCTATATTTAGATTTAGGACCTTCCCCAAACATTTAGAAAAGACAGATAACAAGAAGTTGGTATGAATCACCTGGCTGGTGTAGCTCAGTGGATTGAGCACAGGCCTGCAAACGAGAGGATTGCGGTTCGATTCCCAGTCAGGGCATATTCCTGGGTTGCAGACTGGTTCCCTGCAGGCCACTTCCCAGCAGGGGATGCACAAAAGGCAACCATACATTGATGATTCTCTCCCTTTCTCCTTCCCCTCTAAAGATAAATAAATAAATAAAATCTTAAAAAAAAAGTTGGTATGAATCTTAGCATTCTTCTTCTTTTCTACCCACTCCTAGAGCAGAAATGCTAATGCACAAACTTGTATGAAGGGGAAAAAGATGAAACATGAAGATGAGTCTTTGACAAACAAACTGGAGAATCGGTTTCTTAATAATCAACAACCCATATATTATCAAATTAGTCTTTCCAATAGGAGTGTAAGCTTCTTGCTTTTTCATTACCTCTTTGAGAATCCAATGAAAGCTATGTAGCCTCTCTCCAGAAAACTACATGCCCACATACGTGAAATTTTTTCACGTGATTATTTTCATGATTTATAAATCTCTTGGAAGTTCATTTACTGACACTTTCTTTTTCTACAAACTCACCCTCAAGGTTCCTGACATCAAGGCTCAAAATCTCTGCAGAAAGGAATGAACAGAGACAAAGATATTTCCATCCATTTTGTAGAAGTCTCAGAGAAATTCATTGTGATTGCTTAGTGTTACAAAATCAGTTGGTTATATATTGCTAAGATTAGAACCCAGTTTAATATTTATTCTAGAAACATGTCAATTAAAGTAGGGGACATTAAAGCATTTTTTAAACAGATGTAACAATACAAGCAAACTCTGCTTTTGTCCTCATATCTAAGCAAATAAAAAATTTGGCAGTAAATCAGGTTCTCATACCTTTATCAGTGTCAGCAGCTTTGGTGCCCTGATTTTCATCACCTTGGTTGAAAGAGCTGAGATGGTAGCTATTGAGAAGGAAAGCCCAGACAGGGTTGGTTGTCAGGATTTTTGGAATAGAGGGCAGTGTTTCTTACAATATGATCCTTAGCACTTGAATCAGAATTAAGGAGTGTAAGGGTATACATGTGTTAGATGGTGTTAAATATACAAATTCTAGCCCTGGCTGGTGTGACTCAGTGGACTGATTGTCAGCTTGCAAACCAAAGGGTTGCCAGTTCGATTCCCAGTCTGGGCATATGCCTGGGTTGCAGGCCAGGTTCCCAGTAGGGGGCTTGGGAGAGGTAACCACACATTGATGTTTCTCTCCCTCTCTTTCTCCCTCCCTTTCTCTCACTCTAAAAGTAAATAAATAATCTTTTAAAAAATTTCAGGTCCTGGCTGATGTGGCTCAGGCTGATGTGGACCAGTTGGTTGGAGTGTTGTCCCACACACCAAAAGTTTGGGGTTGGATTCCTGGTCAGGGCACATACCTAGGTTGTGGGTTCAGTCCTCGGTGGGGCACTTGAGGGAAGCAACCAGTCTGTGATTCTCTCTCATATCAATATTCTATCTCTCTCCCTTCCACTCTCTAAAATTAATAAACATATTTTTAAAAATGTGTTTAATATACACGTTCCAGGGTTTCTCCCCAGTACTTACTGAATCAGAATCTCCAATGGGTATCCTAGATTGGAAACTATGATAAAGGTTGATTGAGGGGACTTCTGGACCAAGATGGGGTGTAAGCAGACAAACTGTGCCTTTTCGCCCAACCAAAATTAAGGACAACAAAAATTTAGAAACAAAAAAAAGGAATGAGAACTGACAAAAAAAAACTGAACTGTATAGAAGTCCGACAACCGTTCATCCAGACTGGTAAGAGGGGTGGAGTTGGTGGCTGGTGGAGAGGGATCACAGCAGGAAAAAGCGATGGCTGGTGGGCCCGGCGTGCATGTGGCAGCTGGCATACGCCAGGCATGGGGAGTCGATGACCAGACCTGTTAGGCACACAAGGTGACTAGCTGACCACAGTCACATTCGTGTGCAGATGAGCCAGGCAAAAACTGGCACTGAGACAGACCACGCAATCCAGGGCCCCTGCACTGGGAAATAAAGCCTCAGAACACTAATTGAAAACACTTGTGGGAGTTGAAGTGCTGGGAAAGACTCCCAGCCTCACAGGAGAGTTTGTTGGGGAGACCCACAGGGTCCTAGAATGCACACAAGCCCATCCACACAGGAATCAGCACCAGAAAGGCCCAGTTTGCTTGGGGGAAGCAGTGGAAAGGACTGAGGTCCAACAGATAGCTGAGCAGGTGCCACTGTACCCTCTTGGACCCCACCTCCACACACACTGTCAACCCAGTGACGAGGAGGGGTTTGCCACACCCTGGTGAACACCTAAGGCTCTGCCCCTCACTATGTAACAGGCACGACCAGACCCCCCCCCCCCAAAAAATGGCTCAAACAGAACAACAGATCAAAGCTCCAGAGCTAATACTTTTAAGCAACCAAGAGATAGCCAACCTATCAGATGCACAGTTCCAAGCACTGGTGATCAGGATGGTCACAGAATTGGTCTAATTTGGTCACAAATTAGATGAAAAAATGAAGGCTACGCTAAGTGAAATGAAGGAAGATGCACAGGGAACCAATAGTGATGGGAAGGAAACTGGGACTCAATCAATGGAGTGAACCAGAAGGAAGAAAGAAACAACCAAACAGAAAAGAATGAAGAAACAAGAATTCAAAAACATGAGGAGAGGCTTAGGAACCTCCAGGACATCACTTATTTGAACAAATAATGAAGGAGAACTTCCCCAATCTGACAAAGGAAACAGACTTCCAGGAAGTCCAGGAAGCTCAGAGAGTCCCAAAGAAGTTGGACCCGAGGAGGAACACACCAAGGCACATCATCATTAAGTTACCCAAGACTAAAATGAAGGAGAGGATCCTAGAAGCAGCAAGGCATAAAGAGACAGTCACCTACAAAGGAGTTCCCATCAGACTGTCAGCTGATTTCTCAAAAGAGACTTTACAGGCAAGAAGGGGCTGGAAAGAAGTATTCCAAGTCATGAAATCCAAAGACCTACAACTAAGATTGCTCTATCCAGCAAAGCTTTCATTTAGAATGGAAGGACAGATAAAGTGCTTTTCAGATAAGATCTAATTCAAGGAGTTCATCGTCGCCAAGCCCTTATTATATGAAATGTTAAAGGGACTTAACCATAAGAAAAAGAAGATAAAAAAGATGAACAGTGAAAGGACAGCAAACTCAGTTAATAAGAACCACACCAAAAACAAAAGCAAACTAAGAGGACAGCTAGATCAGGAGCAGAACCATAGAAATGAAGATCACATGGAGGGTTAGCAACAGGGGAGTGCGAGTAGGAGAAGGGGGGAGAAGGTACAGAGAATAAGTAGCATAGACGGTAGGTAGAAAATAGGGGGGAGAGCAAGAATAGTATGGGAAATAGAGAATCTAAAGAACTTGAGACATGGTCATAAACTAAAGGGTGGGGAATGGTGGGGGAGGGGTATGCAGGGTGGAGGGGAATGAAGGGGAATAGAACAACTGTAATGGCATAATTAATAAAATATATTTTAAAAAAACTTTATAAAAATAAATGCACTTTATTGGAACAAATTCTTATGTTGCTGACTATCTTAAATTTTCACTTGAGATAAGAGTTCATTTTTCGAATGAGTGTCTGAAACTTTTTTTTTTTGTAGATGAGGCAGATGATGACGACGATCCAGAATATAATTTCCTGGAAGACCGTGATGAACCAGACACGGAGGATTTCCGTACTGACCGGGCAGTGAGAATCACCAGTGAGTCTATGTTTACTATGGGTGCTGCTCTTGACTGTGCCCCGTCTACATTGGTTTATGTTATAGGGTTTTGAGTGTGAAGTTTGCAATCCATTTAAGCTAAGACATATAAACTTCCTCTACTCGTTTCTATAGTTCTTTAAATTTAGGTATACAGAAAGCCTATCACTCATTCATTTATACATCCCACAGTAGCATATTTATTTAGTCCAGTAATTGGTAGGGTTGTACTTAGGATACGAAAAATGAAAAAGAAATGGCCTCTGTCATATAAGATGACAGTTTACTAGGGATACAAACAGAAAAGGCTATAATACAAAGCTGTTTATAATATAAATAGCTTGTTTATAAAGTATTCTAATTGCTTAAAAGAAGAAGGTGTGATCTGGTGTATTGTATAAAGTTATGGTGTGAGGGCTTCGGAAAGGATTCACAAGATGAGATGTTTTTATCATAGTTTTGAAGGAGGAATAGGAAATTTTTGATGAATGGGGACAGCAAAGGGATATTACAAATATAAGAGCATCTGCAAAAACAGAATTGTGAACAAAGTGTGTTTGGAAAATGGTGTATACTTTGGTATAGTTGTATATGTGAGTGGATAAAAAGGTAACCAGTATTCAGTCCCTGAATTGGAGAACCTTTTTTTTTTTAAATTTTTCAAAATATATTTTATTAATTATGCTATTACGGTTTTCTTATTCCCCCCTTCATTCCCCTCCACCCTGCACACCCTCTTCCACCCACATAACCCCCTTTAGTTCATGTCCATGTGTCATAAGTTCTTTAGCTTCTACATTTCCCATACTATTTTTGCCCTCCCCCTGTCTATTTTCTACCTACCATCTATGCTACTTACTCTCTGTATCTCCCCCCCTTCCTCCCACTTCCCTTTTGCTAACCCTTCATATGATCTCCTTTTCTGTGGTTCTGTTTCTGTTCTAGTTGTTTGCTTAGTTTGCTTTTGTTTTAGGTGTGGTTGTTAATAATAAGTGTGAGTTTGCTGTCCTTTCACTGTTCGTATTTTTATCCTCTTTTTCTTGGATAAGTCCCTTTAACATTTCATATAATAAGGGCTTGGTGATGATGAACTCCTTGAACTTGACCTTGTCTGAGAAGCACTTTATCTGCCCTTCCATGCTAAATGAAAGCTTTGCTGGATAGAGCAATCTTAGTTGTAGGTCTTTGGATTTCATGACTTGGAATACTTCTTTCCAGCCTCGTCTTGCCTGTAAGGTCTCTTTTGAGAAATCAGCCAACAGTCTGATAGGAACTCCTTTGTAGGTGACTGTCCCCTTCTCTCTTGCTGCTTCTAGGATTCTCTCCTTCATTTTAATCTTGGCTAATGTAATTATTAAGTGGCTTGCTGTGTTCCTTCTTTGGTCCAACTTCTTTGGGACTCTCTGAGCTTCCTGGACTTCCTGGAAGTCTATTTCCTGTGCCAGATTGGGGAAGTTCTCCTTTATTATTTGTTCAAATAAGCTTTCCACTGGTGGCTATTCCTCTTCCCCTTCTGGTACCCCTATAATTTGGATGTTGGAACGTCTAAAGATGTCCTGGAGGTTCCTAAGCCTCTCCTCATGCTTTTGAATTCTTGTTTCTTCATTCTTTTCTGTTTGGTTGTTTCTTTCTTCCTTCTGGTCCACTCCAATGATTGAGTCCCAGTTTCCTTCCCATCACTATTGGTTCCCTGTGCATCTTCCTTCATTTCACTTAGCGTAGCCTTCATTTTTTCATCTAATTTGCGACCAAATTAGACCAATTCTGTGACCATCCTGATCACCAGTGCTTTGAACTGTGCATCTGATAGGTTGGCTATCTCTTGGTTGCTTAAAAGTATTAGCTCTGGAGCTTTGATCTGTTGTTCTGTTTGAGCCATTTTTTGGGGGGGGGGTCTGGTCGTGCCTGTTACGTAGTGAGGGGCAGAGCCTTAGGTGTTCACCAGGGTGGGGCAAACCCCTCCTCGTCACTGGGTTGACAGTGTGTGTGGAGGTGGGGTCCAAGAGGGTACAGTGGCACTTGCTCAGCTATCTGTTGGACCTCAGTCCTTTCCACTGCTTCCTTCAAGCAAACTGGGCCTTTCTGGTGCTGATTCCTGTGTGGATGGGCTTGTGTGCATTCTAGGACCCTGTGGGTCTCCCCAACAAACTCTCCTGTGAGGCTGGGAGTCTCTTTTTGGGCCTCAACCCCCACAGATGTTTTCAGTCAGTGTTCTGAGTCTTTATTTCTTTGCACTGGGACCCTGGGTTGCATGATCTGTCTTGCTCCCCAGTTATCTGCATGTCACTGTGGGACCACCAAGTCAGCCAGCCACCTTGCTCCTGGTGCCTCTCTTCGCAGTCACCGTCCCACTGGGTCTGCCTGTTGCTATCTCATGCCTTGGGTCTGCCAGCTGCTGCCTACATGCCCAGGGTGCTCTGTGCCCCTGGTGTCACCTCTTCCTGTGCTGCAACCCCTCTCCGCTCGGCAACTGGACTCCACTGTGCCTAGCGGTCTCAATGAATGTGTCTATTTCAGCTCCTTGGCTGTTCAACTTACATACAGTTCAATTTTCTGTCAGTTCTCGTTGTTACTTTATGTCTAAATTTTTGTTGTCCTTATTTTGGTTGTGCGAGGAGACCCAGTGTGTCTACCTATGCCTCCATTTTGGCTGGAAGTTGTGAATTGGAGAACCTTGAATTTGAGTTTTGGTCTATCAAAAAGGGGAGCCCAAAGAATTTTAAGCAAAGAGCTTCCAGCAAAGATGGAGGTATAGGTAGATACACCTCACTTCTTCAAATAACCAAAAGAAAGATAACAACCAATTTAAAATAAAAAAACAACCAGAACTGCCAGAAAATCGAACTGTATAGAAGTCTCTAAATAAATAAAATCTTTAAAAAAAAGGAGAAAAAAAGAATCCCCCCTTGACTTTAATCCAAAGTGTATGGAGATTTGAAGTTGTTTCAGAGATACTTTCAAGGCCACTGTCATTTGCTTTCTCAAGCAGTTGATCCTCTTCTACCGTGGACAAAGTCGGTTCACCTGGCTTACTCACAAATGGGCCACTCACAAATGGGCCACGGATCCATTCCTTCCCGGTTTGGGGGTCTTTTGTGGTTGAGAAGTAGTGCTCAAACTCTTCTGAAAGCTGAGATAGGTGACCATGCACCCCCTGGGAGAGAGAAGGCCCTGGCTCAGTCTCTGAAAATTTCTGCTAATGTTTGAAACATGTCAAAAAACCCAGTGTTCACTCATAACCCCCATAGTTCCAGTTTGGCTTTGAATGCAGCCACTTTATCTGCCAACTTGAACACAGTTGTTGTCTCCTGAAGTGACAGATTGAATTCTTTGAGCAGGTTGAATATGTCACACAAGTAAGCAAGTTTTGTGACCCATCCTGGGTCACTGAGTTGTGCTGCCACTGGTGACTTTTCTTGTGGAAGAAATCTCTGGAGCAGCTCTTGTAACTCAGAAATTCTGGCAAGTGATCTAAATTTAGAAAGCCATCTCACCTCTGCATGTAAGAGAAGACATGTGTGCTCTGTGTTCATCTCCTCACAGAGCTGTGTGAACAGATGTACTTTAATGTAATTGATAATTTTAATCTCATCCTGCAAAACGTTGTTAAGTTCAGGTGACATTTTTCAGCTAGCTAGCATTTCTCTATGGATCAAACAGTGCATAGACTCACATTCAGAAGCAACATCTTTGACCCAAGTAGTGAAACCAGCTGTTCCATCCAATCACATACTGACAAAATGACTAATTCAGTTTTCCTGGTATGTAATCATTCAAAGACTTAAATAGTTCTGCAGCTTTGGAGTTGGTTGGCAACAAAAGCGCACATAACATATCCTCATGCACATCCTTCTGAAAAAAATATTTCACACAAAAAATATTATTTTGTTGTCAGCATTGGTAGGCTCGTCAGCCTGCATTGTGTACCACGGTGACTCATTAATCCTAACAGTTGTGCCTCAGTGTTCTCCGCTATTTCGTCAGTTTGTCTGGTTATGGTGGTAGCTGAAAGAGGAGCACATGCCACCTTTTGAATTGCAGCTTCTCCTAAAAGTTCACAACAGATATCCTCTGCAGCAGGCAGGATCAACTCTTCACCAGTAGTAAAGGGCTTCTTAGCTTTAGCAATGCGGTTAGCCACAGAATGATGCTCTCAGTGCAGACACATTTGATGAAGTGGTTACCTTCAGTAATTGCTTCTGTTTATGTTCAGGCTTTTTTGTTTTGAAGAACTCCAAAGGCTTGACTTTAAATTAGGATGCTTGGTCTTCAAGTGGCAAAGCAGTTTTGAAGGTTTCATGGCTTTGTTGGATAGCTGGTCACCACATATTATACAAAGCAGGCTTGGAAAATGTGAATCACTTGTTGCAGTGAACCCGTAATTTAAGTAGGACTCTTGGTATTTTCTTTTAAGTGCAGCTTTCTTTTTCTTAGCAGTCTTAGAGCCTTCTGCTATCTTATCATTGGGTCTTTCCCCCTTTTTCAAAGAAATTCTCTAGCCATGTTTGTGTTTTGCTCATTTTGGCTAGGGTTAGCATGTGGGCTTACTGAAACTGACATGAGACAAGTGCACAGTATAAGAAAGAGGGGCAGGCAGAAGTGGTAAATAACATAGTAGGTGGGCCATGTACAGACTAAAATAAGTGTCAGATTCAGACTTAAAAGCCTGCCACCAGGTGCAGCTTAATTGTTGCTTGCCATTCACTGATAGGGGTTTGATATGGTCTGCAAGCAACTGATTCATGATGGTCTCTGTGCAGTCAAACCTCTCTGCTAATAATAGTCTGTACTTGCAGCTGCTCCCCAGCAGTAGCATTACCGCCTCAGATCCACCTATGATCATCAGGCATTAGATTCTAATAAGGAGCGTGCAACCTAGATCCCTCACATGCTCAGTTCACAGTAGGGTTTGTGCTCCTGTGAGAATCTAATGCTGCCACTGATATGACAGGAGGAGGAGCTCAGGCAGTAATGTGAGTGATGGGGAGCAGCTGTAAATACAGATGCAGTTTCGATTGTTCACTTGCCCCTCACCTCCTGGTATGTGGCCCAGTTCCTAACAGGGCCACGGACCAGGGGATGGAGACCTCTGTTCTAAGTCCTTGATAGAGTTACCAAATGGTTCCGGTGAGAAGACAAGATCCTGTGACACACTGCTAGAGACTTCTCTCTTGACTCCACTCAGTTGGATAGGTTAACAAACTATGAATAAAGCTTATTGTGAAATCATCTAGCTCATGTTTTATGTATGTCTTCCCACTAGAATTTAAGCTTCGTGATTGTAGGACTATTGAGTTTTGCATGTATTGCAGGTATCTAGAACAGGGATTGAGGCATCATTGCCATTCAGCTGTTTTTGAATGAATGAATGTTAAATATATATGAGGGTTTTGTCAGATGCCTTGCTGAAAACAACATACATTGTCTTCTTGGAATTACCGTTCATGAAACTAACTTGTGCCAACAACATACTGTTTGGCTTTTTTGTAGAAAAGGAAGTGAATGGACTGATGGAAGAGCTGTTTGAAACTGTGAGTAATGGTCCTCAAGTAAGAGTTTGGGATGGTAAAAGTGGATCCTCCAGCAAGCTCTGTCCTTTGGTCCCAGGGCCCCTGCCTCCAGAAAGTGTTTAGACCAAGCCAGTTCACCTTTTGGTTCATCCAGGAGAGAATATAGTGGCAGGAAAATTTTGCTAACTAAATAAACATTGATTATCAGTATGTAGATAATTTTTAATAAATTTTTCTTCAAACTTTGAACCGCTTCTCCAACAGTTTTAAATGATTGTTTTTTTCAACAATCATTTGGTGCATCCCTAAAGAGCGCAAGCTAGTTTTAGATTATTCTGAGGACAAATGGTTGTCTTTCTGATAAATTTGTCTCTTGAAAGATATTTATGATCATTGTGAGTTATCCATACTCTATCCTTAGCATTATAATTTGACCAGTTTACAGACATTTTTTGTTGTTGTTGAAATAGTCTAGTCATCCCGTGTGTGGGACTATGGGAGGCCTGAAAAGAGGAAAAAAATTAAAGTCCTGTAAACTGTAGTCTTTACTTCGCTTCTCACTGCTACAGTGACTCTCACATGCCTGTTCCGTAGGAAAACCCATCGTTTCCATCTCATTTTCCTCAGTTTCAAGATGAAATGGGATTCCCCAACATGGAAGATGATGGCCCAGAGGAGGAGGAACGTGTGGCTGAGCCTCGGCCCAACTTTAACACTCCTCAAGCACTACGGTAGGCCTATCAAAGACCTCGAAAGTTAGAATGGACAAGTAGTGTATGTCTGAAAAGGTTTTCAGAAATTTTGGTTAATTTTTCATCCCCAGTGGGAGTGTTAGATGGCAGGTGAAATCTCCTCATGGGGCAGTGCAGCTGTAGACCAAGCTGTATCTGTTTGGGAATGGAGAGAAAACAGTAGCTGGCATCCATAGCAGCTTCTCCAGGAGAGTGGTGCTGGAGGAGGTATGTAGGATTCTACATGGCCAGCCACAAAAATACTGCAAATCGTCATATCCATCATGCCACTTTTGTCCTCCTCATTTGCTGTTAATATCGGGTAAGTGTCAATAAATGTTCGTTAATCATCTAGGCATTAATTCAACAAACCACGAAGCACCTACAATAATGCCCTAGGATATAAATATATAGACTGCCCTGTTCATATAAAGTTGGCACTTCTGTTGCCCAACCCAAAAAGTAGAGACTAATTTTTCCCTGTTTTTGCAGTAGGTTTGCACAATCTATCTGTACTTCATTGTTATCCATTCTGAGAAGCAGAGGTCAGAGTGTGGTTTATGCAGTGGATGGAAAAAAGAAAGCCTAAGATACTCAGAGCCTCTAATTAATCCTGTGTTTTAATTGAACAGCATTATCTAACTTAGAGAGCTTGGGATCCATCTGAAAGGTACACTTTTGGGGAACCTGCAATTTAATGAAAAAGACAAGGTATACTAACAAATGTGGAAAAGCCAGAAATATTAGTCATACTCCATTACAATAAATACCGTAATATAACTGCAACAAATATCTTAGGATTTCCCCTTTTAGCTTTATTGAAGTGCTGTTGTCAAAGATGTAAGATATTGAAAGTGTACAATATGATGGTTTGATACACACATAGATTGCGAAAGGATTTCCCCCACTCATTGATTTAATTAACACTTCTGTCACCTCACATACTTACTTTTTTTAAAGAATATTTTCAAGATTTCTGAGAATCTGTATTTGACCCACTTACTTCAAGTTACAGTTCATAGGACAAAATTTCTGATGTAGCAGAATGGAACCATTCCTCCCGGGAACTTATTCTTGTATATGGTATAAGAGAGTGGTCTAGTTTTATTTTTATTTTTTGTATGTATCCATCTAGTTTTCCCAACACAGTTTTTTGAATAGACTTTTTAAAAAATAGTTTACATTTTTTCTTTAAAAGATTTTATTTCTTGCCCTGGGTGGTGTAGCTCAGTGGATTGAGCACAGGCCTGCTAACCAAAGGATTGCGGTTCAATTCCCAGTCAGGGCACACGCCTGGGCTGCAGGCCAGTTCCCAGCAGGGGACCCCCAAGAGGCAACCACACATTGATATTTCTCTCCCTCTCTCCTCCCCTTCCCCTCTAAAGATAAATAAATAAAATCTTTTTGAAAAGATTTTATTTATTTATTTTTAGAGAAAGGGGAAGAGAGGGAGGCAGGAAAAGAAACATTGATGTGAGAGGAAAATAATAATCAGTCGCATCTCTTAAGCAGTTACGTCTCATATGAACCCCAACAGGGGACTAAACCGGCAACCCAGGCCTATGTCCTGACTAGGAATCAAACCAGAGACCTTTCACTTTGCAGGACGATGCCCAACCAACTGAGCCACACTGGTCAGGGCTGTTAGTTCATATTTTTTGTCTTTTTTTCTTCTTCTTAAAGATGTCCCTTTAACATTTCTTATAATAGTGGTTTGATGGTGATGAATTCCTTTAGCTTTTTCTTGTCAGGGAAGCTCTTAATCTGCCCTTTGATTCTAAATGATGGCCTCGCTGGGTAAGGTGATCTTGGTTGTAGGTCTTTCCTTTTCATCACTTTGAATATTTCATCCCAGTCCCTTTGGGCCTACCAAGTTTTTTCTTTTTTTTTTTTTCTTTTTAAATTTATTTCTACCAAGTTTCTATTGAGAAAACAGCTGACAGTCTTATGGGAACTTCCTTGTATATAATTCACTGCTGTTCTCTTGCTGCTTTTAAGATTCTTTCTTTGTCTTTAACCTTTGCCATTTTGTTTTATTCTGTTTCACTTTTATTTCATTTTAAATTTACTATTTTATCCTTGCCTGAGGACTTAGCTATTGATTTTAGAGAGAGGGGAAGAGAAGGAGACAGAGGGAGAGAAATACCGATGTGAGAGGGAAACATAAGTTGATTGCTTCTTGTGTGCACCCTGATCGGGTACTGAACTCCCATACTCAGAGAAGTATCCTGTTTGGGAATCAAACCTGTGACCTTTTGGTGTACAGGACAGCACCCAGCCAAACTGAGCCACACCAGCCAGGGCTAACCTTTGCCATTTTCATTATAATATATCTTGGTGTGGGCCTCCTGGAGTTTATCTTTTTTGGGTCTTTTCTGCATTTCCTGGACTTTAATGTGTATTTCCTTTGCCAGGTTAGGGAAGTTTTCAGTTATTAATTCTTCAAATAGTTTTTCAGTCCCTTGCCTTTTCTCCTCGCCTTCTGGTATCCTTATGATGTGATGATGTTATGCTTCACGTTGTTCTAGAGGTCACTTTAAAAAACTTTTTTTTTTCTATTTGCATGGTTTTTGCTACGTTGTGTTCTAAATCACTAATGCAAATTATCTGCTTCATCTCATCTGCTGTTGATTCTGTTACTGTATTCTTTATTTCTAATCTCTTTGTGTAAATTCTCACTGAGTTCATCTGGTCTTCCCCCTAAGTTCATTGAACATCCTTCTAACCAAGTGTTTTAAACTCTGATTGGGTAAATTGCTTGTCTCCATATTTTTTTAGTTCTTTTCCTGGAATTTTGTTCTGTTTTTTCATTTGGGACGTTTCTTTGTTTCCTCATTTTGGCTGCCTCCGTATTTATTTTTATGTATTAAGTGGATTTGGTCTGTCTCCAGTCTTTGCAGGGCTTCCTTATGTAGTATGTGCCCTGCGGGGCCTGTGGCAGTCTGCCAGGTCACTTGAGCCATATGCTCAGGAGTGCCCTCGTGTGGTTGTGTGTGCTCTCCTGTTGTAGTTGAGCCTTGATTGCTGTTGGCACATCAGTGGGTAGGGTTCACCCTCAGGCTGAATGCTTACGACTGCAGCAGGGCTGACCCCATGGAGCAGGATTCATTTCAGTGGAGCTCTGGGCTCTGGGCTCTGTCTAATAGCCTTTGTGTATGCCACTTGTGGAGCTAATCAGCTGGTTCTCTGTTGTAGCCTGAAATTCTCTGTCTGGTTGGTTGGTTCTCGGGCCTCTTGTGTGGGGCTCTGATGCAGGCTGAAGTCAGCTACCACCTGTTCCTGGCCTAGGCCACCTGCTAGGAGCTACAAAGTGATTCACAGTTAGTATCTGCCTGTGCTGGTCCTGAGACCACTTAGAGGGACAGGGCACACTAAGGCCAGTTGCCACTGTCTAAGGACCTGGCAACGTTAGAAAGTTTAATACAAAGTTTGCAGCACAGGCGAAGGCCTGTTGCCTCTGAGGCTCATCCATTGAAAGAGTCAAGAACTTGCCCTGGCTGGTGTGGCTCAGTGGATTGAGTCCCGGCCTGAGAACAATAGGGTTGCTGGTTTGAGACCCAGTCGGGGTAAATGCCTGGGTTTCAGGCCAGGTCCTTGGTGGGGGGTATGCAAGAGGCAACTACACATTGATGTTTTTCTCTCTTCCTCTCTCCCACTCTGTCTAAAAATAAAAAAATAAAATATTTTTTTTAAAAAGAATGAGTCAAGAACTATGTGGGTGCTGCAGAGTTGAGTGGGGTCTTTGGTTCAGCAGGGTGGTGCTAGCAGTGTTTACCAGGTTAGTGGAGATTTAGATTTGGTGCCCTCCTGCGTCTGCAGGCTGTTTTCCAGGAGGGCTCAGTACAGGGATAGTGGTGGACCTTGCCTTGAAGCCATATAATTCAGTTTGTCCCTGGTATGTCTATAGCACCTTACAAGCTGTCCCTAGACTTGAGCTTAGGGTGAGTGTTTGTGAGCAAGCGAGTCTATGGGCAGGCCGTTTATGAGGGCATCTGGGTTTCTAGCAGCCTTTCATCTCACCTGGACAGGGTTTCAGCTGGTCACCAGCGTAAGGCAAATGGGATTAGAGTAAAGGGTAAGTCAGAGAACAGATGCCGTACTTTGAAAGATTTTATGTCGCTGTTAAGAACAAGTCCCAGATTAATTTCGATATTAGTATAATGATAGAATGGTAAGTTTCCATTACTCTTTGTTTGGTTACCTGATGTATCTCTTGGTCCTAAATGTTTGCTTTATTTCCTCTTTATTTGTGTGTTACTTAGAGGACTGATTGTAGAAAAATAAGGAGGGTGGACAATTTAGAACCATCTTATTTGAATCGATGCTAACAACTTTGGGAAAAAATTCGGATAGGAGTTTTGCCTGTTGGCTAAAGTGGGATTTAGAAATTATCAGTAGGTAGAAACTATTCAGACTCTTCTAGACCTCCATTAGAAGGAACGGGATATGTCATGGGCTAGGAAAATACTCAAATGTACTCATGTCCCCGTCGGGGATAGGTTTGAGGAACCACTGGCCAACTTGCTAAATGAGCAACATCGTACAATGAAGGAGCTACTTGAGCAGCTGAAGTTGAAGAAATCTTCAGCCAAGCAGCAGCAGGAGGTAGAGAGGGTTAAACCTCAGACTGAGAAAGTTCCTCAGACTCTGATTCTAGACCCAGCACAGAGGAAGAGACTCCAGCAGCAGATGCAACAGGTAAGACTTTTCTTTCTAATGTTAAGATTGGATCATTCCATGGCTTGACATGAAGCCAAAAGTTAGCAGCTTTTTAAGTTAGAAAGAGAGAGGTGTCCTGACACCCTTTGAAACCATAGGACCACAGGGTCTTCACATCAGCTAGCACCTTGAGAACTTACCACGTTCATGAGTCACTATGACTCAGGCAGGAATTCGTGAGGACCCTGGTAATAGATAAAGAATTACAGATTTCAAAGACTCCTTAGTAAGCCATTCTGAATTTATTAGTCTCACTGCCATAGTAGTGTTTTCTTCTTTCTAATCTCATTTTGTTTGGTTTGAGGTTAAACTTCCCCTAGTTCTATCATTTTTATCAAGGGGAACATATCTGTGAAATTTCTACCAAGAAACTGTTGTTCTCATAGTTTCTCCAGAAAGCAAAGTGATATGTAATAAAGTTGCAGATATCCTGGTAAGATCTTCTGGGTTTCTGAAATGACATCATAACATGTTACTGTATTATTTTCTTTCCCTCCCCAGCATGTTCAACTCTTGACGCAAATTCACCTTCTCTCCGCCTCCAACCCCAATCTCAACTCAGAGGCCAGCACTACCAGGATATTTCTTGTAAGGTTCCAAATCTTAATAACTCTAAAGACTTGTGTATGCAATTAGCTTGGCAAACCATTTCTCACAGATACGTACCCATCATAATCTACATTTCTTCTTTTCTCCTGCATGTTTTGGTAGCTATTCCTATGGCTTCCTATGTTTGCTGAGAGAACATAAACCACTGATTTCCATGAAAGGACAAAGAGTGTATTCAGTTTTTTTAAGAGTATTGTTCTGACTTGCAGTCTTAATGAGGTAATGTTCATTGTGAAAGACTTTAGGATGATTTTTACTTGCTTTTATACTTTAATAGGAAGGATAGTCTTTCACACAGAGGCTAAGGGCTCTTGGTTTAATGGTCTAGAACTTAAATCTCCATTTTGTCCTGTTTTCCCAGGAAGAGCTGGGAACCTTTGCTCAAAGCTCCATCACCCTTCACCAACAGTTCAACCCTAAGTTTCAGACCTTGTTCCAACCCTGTAACCTGATGGGAGCTGTGAAGCTCATTGAAGACTTCAACACACATGTCAGTATTGACTGGAGTCCTCGTAAAACTGTCAAGACAGGTAGGGGACAGATGTGTCTACTTCAGGTTTTTAAAACTGCAGTGAGAAGTGAGTCTTATCCCATAGATAATTTCTTAGGGTGCAGGAGATAGGATATTTATAATTTTTTGCTTCTCTCTGTTATCCTTCCTTGTGCTCATTAGGTTCTAGAATTACATGGTATAATATATTTGGGCGTATGTAAGGGTTGGGGGCATAGATGGGACAGGGTTGTGAGGAAAAGAGATGTGGGACTCCATGCGCAGAATTGGACTTAAGTAGATATGAGGGTAAGCATTAGGAGTGAGAACAAAGCAAACTAGAATCTGGGAAAGATGGAAATCAAGTGATAAAGGTGGGTCATGTTTAGGTTTTCATTCAGTTCTTCATTAGGATCATTTTATTTTTCATAACGATTATAATGGTATCTCCATTTTGAATCAAAGGTGATTTGGGACAAGACACAAATTAGAGATGTTGTACATCTGCTGTGTTTACGATTGATTGATTGATTGGAGAAAAGGGAGAGAAACATCAGTGTCTGGTTGCCTCTCACACACTCCCTACTGAGGACCTGGCCCACCACTGAGGCATTTGCCCTAGACTGGGCATCGAACCGGCGACCCTTTGGTTTGCAGGTCATCACTCAATCCACTAAGCCACACCGGCCAAGACATTTGACGTGTTGAATATTTTAAAGAAACTTTCATTAGTTTAGGGGTTTTTTTTTGAGGTTTTCTTTATTTACCTTTTAGAGAGAGGGGAAAGAGGCAGAAAGAGGCGGGCCGGGATGAACATCAGTGTGTGGTTGACTCTCACATACCGTCCCCCACACACACACACTGGAAACCTGGCACACAACCCAGCTTGTGGCAGGGAATTGAACTGGAGACCCTTTTGCTTTGCAGCCTGGTGTTCAGTCCACTGATCCACACAGGTCAGGGCACAGTTTAGTATTTTTTAAAAAATATTGCTGTTCCTTTGAAACCAAGTATTTGCTTCGTTTTTATTTTTTATTTTTATTTTTCCATCATAGTTTACTTTCACTATTATTTTGTATTGGTTTCAGGCATACTGTATAGTGTTTAGATACTCATATACTTCATAAATATTTGTTTTGGATTTATGCCCTGGTTTAGCAAATTAATCATACTTTGCTCTGGATTTAGGCTGTCTTTGGATTTAATGTTAAATCCCTGATTTTTACAATTAAATTGGCTGTAGGTGAGCTTCAGTGCATTCAGTTATAGACACTGATCTCAAGATTACTTTGTTAGCATGTGTGTTGGTACTGAAAACTTAATTTAATGCCAAACTATAGTAATAACTTACACATACAGTATCCTGTGTTTTTCTTCCGGGAATATAAGAACATTTATGGCTCTGGCTGGTTTTGCTTAGTCAGTTGAGTGCCAGCCTGTGAACCAAAAGGTCACAGGTTCTATTCCTAGTTGGGGCACAAGCCTGGATTGCAGGCCACACCACCAGTTGGGGGTGCAAGAGGCAACTGGTCAATGTTTCTCTTGACCATCGATGTTTCTGTCTCCCCGCCCTTCCACTTCCCGTCTCCCTCTCTCCCCTCTTTCTTGGTTTTCAAGTCAGTGCTCAATCCATTGAGCCAAACCAGCCAGGGCTCTCTCCCCTCTTTCTTTCCTCTTCCCCCTTCCTTGTACTCTCTCTAAAAATAAATAAGTAAAATCTTTAAAAAAAAAACATTTATGGAAGAAGTATGTACCTCTGGAAAGGCAGCAGTGCCTGGAATTGAGAGGCTTAGAAAGAAAGACAATACAGTCTCATTCCGTTCATGGTTTTTTATTCCCAACCTCAGGTGGAATCTGGGAAAAGGTAATTAAAGTTAAGTAAGAATCAAGTAAAATAAAATTTGGAATACCAAATTTGTGAGGGAAATTAAAGCAGGTGAAATCTTATTCCGGAAGAGGCAAAGAACTGTTGAAGATCACTTATCTTTTAAGGATTTAAAGGGGGAAGGAGGAAAAATATTTTGAGTGTACACCGTAACAGGTATTACTAGGTACTTTGTGTTTGTTACTTGTGTGTTAAGTGTTTCACATAGAAAAGAATAAGAAAATCAACTTCTAATAACATTGAATGGGACTCCCTTGAGGTTTATGTTAAGCTGAGAAAGCTGTAGAAACTTCTGTGGGGCAGGTTGTGTGGGTTAGAAGGGCATCAGGTGAGGTAGAGGCAGCTCTGTCTAAAAGCAGAAGTGCATTCATGCCCTGGTTGGTGTGGCTCAGTGGATTGAGTGCCAACCTGCAAACCAAGGTGCATCAGTTTGATTCCCAATCAGGGCGTGTGCCTGGGTTGTGGGCCAGGTCCCTGGTGTGGGAGGCATGAGAGCCACACACATTGATGTTTCTCTCCCTTTCTTTCTCCTTCCCTTCCTCGCTCTCTAAAAAATGAATAAATAAAGTTAAAAAAAATAAATGCAAAAGTACATTCAGAAGCTTTTGTGAAGCCCTCTTTTTTCCAGAATTTTATTTATTATGGTTTTTTTTCTTATAGGCTGTAAATTTCCCTGTTTGCCAAAGCAAGTGGCTTGGATCTTGGCCACAAGCAAGGTTTTCATGTATCCAGAACTACTTCCAGTGTGTTCTCTGAGAGCAAAGAATCCCCAGGATAAGAATTCATTCACCAAGGCTGAGGACAAGTAAGTGTTCACTGTGGGGAGAAGCACCAAATGTCCCAAAGAGAACGTCTAGTTCTCTTTTCTTGGGGACATTGAGAAAAGTAAAGCACATGTAAGACATGGGCACCAAAAACAAGGAGAAGCGGAGTTGATGGACGTAAAGTTCTGTAGTATGTGCTTATTTTAGCATTGCCAAATACTGTTTTGAGGGGGAATTGCACACACATTTTTAAAACATTTTAAACTTTATTTTTTTTTTAGTCATTGTAAAAATCCAATCTTGTAATATGTACTATTAGAAGAAATTTTCTAAAGGAAAAAAATTTTTATCCACTATCCTAACCACCCCAAGATAATATTTTTTCTCTTTGCATTTCTCATACAGTTATTGGCCATTTAAATATAATTTTGCTTTTACTTTTTAACCTATCATCGTCTTGAAATTGTTTCTACTATTTGCAGTGACATTGTCCTTTTTTTGTTATTTCTGTATATTTTCTTTTAAAGCAATATTTAATGGCCCCGAGATAGTTCTTTTATTTGCTACTTTTCTTCTCTGTTGTTTTTGCTGTTGTAAGTGAGGCATCACTAAGGATCTTTGTACATAGAACTTTTTGAAAATCTTTTGAGTTTATCCCTTTGGGTAAATTCCCAAGAGTGAGATTTTTTGATAAGGTTATGAACATTTTTATGGCTTTGGTATGTATTACCCCATTGCCATCAATAAATATGTACATAGGTAACCATGATAGATTATGTTATAATGGGAGATACTGTTGGTATTAATTTCATGTCCCTAACATGGTGCCCATCATTCATTTTATATTTGTTTCATTAGACCCATTCTCCTTTCTTTGAGTACGAAGTGCAAAGGAATACTAAGTATGAAAGCTCACTTGGTCTGACATTTATTGGTGATTTATGCTTAGGTTTTACTCTTCCTTTCTGATTATGACCTCCTGATTGAGTCTTACTTATAGTACTTATTAGCACACAGTAAATATCTGAAATTTTTTGTTGAGTAGCTGTTATCTTCTAAGAATTAGATGTAGAAAAAGTGGGTTGTAAAATGTGAAGTTCTTCCTTCCGAAAGTATCTGCTGAGACTTTTGGAAGAATGGACTGGGAAATGTCATTGCTCCTTTCTCAGTTTGTTAGTTTTAGGACTGAAGCACTTTGAAGGGACTGAGTTTCCTAAGCCTCTAATCAGCAAGTACCTTCTTACTTGCAAGACTGCCCACCAACTAACAGTGAGAATCAAGAACCGCAGCATGAACAGAGCACCTGACAACATCTTCAAAGTAAGTTTCCCCTGTGTACTCCACTGGGGCTCGCTGATGAGCAGCCGTTCTAGTCTCCTTGTTAGTCTTGATGTAGGGAGGGATCTGTTACCTATGGCAGAGTCCTTTCACCTGTGCACTCAGTTCATTGCCCTCTTGCCTTTACAGGGAGATTGAACTGTTTTCCTCTGAAGTATCATCTTCTGATATGGATGTTATTGCTCTTAAAATAAGATTAAGTCTTAAAATATCTCTTAAATCCATGTTTCCCTCCAGCCATTAATTCTCTCTTTTACTGTAACCTTTTTGAAAGAAAGGGTAGAAAACACTCCACTTACACTTTCTCCTTCACTCTTCGTATTCAGATATTTATATCAGAATTTTAAAGCATATACGTTAAAGAGGCAAGTAAATAGTTTAAAGAGTCAGATGGTTCTCTGAAGCTTGTTATGAAAAACGACATTTTTCTCTCTATTTTCTGCTAAGCAAGGTTTTTTGGGGGGATGGTGCACTTAAACTTCCATATGTAGGTAACATAGTTGATGCCACTAAATGTTTGGGATTTAGGCTTCACTTATTAAACTTTAAACTGGGACATCCGGCCAACATGGAGGGTAGACACACTGTGCCTCCTCCCACAACCAAAATAAGGACAACAACAATTTCAAAACAAAAAACAACAAGAACTGACATAAAATCAAACTGTATGGAAGTCCAACAACCAAGGAGTTAAAGAAACATTCATCCAGACCGGTAGCAGGGGAGGAGATGGGCGGCAGGGCAGTCTGACAGAGAGGGGTTGCAACAAGGGAGCAGATTGTGGAGGGACGCGGTGCACAAGGCAACTGGCGGACCAGGCGGTCCCACATTTGCACACAGGTAAACCAGGCAAAACTGGAGAGCGAGACAGACCATGCGACCCAGGGTTCCAGCGCCAGGAAGTAGAGCCTCACAACACTGATTGAAAACACCTCTGGGGGTTGAGGTGCTGTCATAGACTCCCAGCCGCACAGAAGAGTTCGCTGGGGAGACCCACAGGGTCCTAGAATGTACACAAGCCCACCCACCTGGGAATCAGCACCAGAAAGGCCCAATTTGCTCGTGGGTAATGGGGGAAGTGACTGAAAGCCAGCAGAAAGTGGAGCAACCACCATTGTTTTCTCTCAGACCCCTCCCCCACATAAAACATCACAACCCAGCTGTTGGGTTGCCCCACCCTGGTGAACACCTAAGGCTCCGCCCCATACTACTTAGCAGGTGTGTCAAAACAAACAAAAAAACTGACCCAAACAAAAGAACAGATCAAAGTTCCAGAAAAAATACAACTAAGCCACAAAGAGATAGCCAGCCTATCAGATACACAGTTCAAAACACTGGTAATCAGGATGCTCATAGAATTGGTTGAATTTGGTTGCAAATTAGATGAAAAAATGAAGGCTACGCTAAGTGAAATAAAGGAAAATGTACAGGGAACCAGTAGTGAGGGCAAGGAAACTAGTACTAAAATCAACAGTGTGGACCAGAAGGAAGAAAGAAACATCCAACCAGAACAGAATGAAGAAACAAGAATTCAAACAAATGAGTAGAGGCTTAGGAACCTCCAGGACACCTTTAAACATTCCAACATCCAAATTATAGGGGTACCAGAAGGGGAAGAGGAACAGCAACAAGTGGAAAAGTTATTTGAACAAATAATAAAGGAGAACTTCCTCAATCTGACAAAGGAAATAGACTTCCAGGAAGTCCAGGAAGCTCAGAGAGTCCCAAAGAAGTTGGACCCAAGGAGGAACACACCAAGGCATATCATAATTATATTACCCAAGATTAAAATGAAGGAGAGAATCTTAAAAGCAAGAGAAAAGGAGACAGTTACCTACAGAGGAGTGCCATGAGACTGTCAGCTGATTTCTCAAAAGAGATCTTGCAGGCAAGAAGGGGCTGGAAAGAAGTATTCCAAGTCATGAAAGGCAAGGTCCTATTTGCAAGATTGCTCTATCCAGCAAAGCTTTCATTTAAAATAGAAGGGCAGATAAAATGCTTCTCAGATAAGGTCAAGTTAAAGGAGTTCATCATCACCAAGCCTTTATTATATGAAAGGTTAAAGGGACTTACCTAAGAAAAAGGAGATAAAAAATGTGTACAGTAAAATGACAGCAAATTCACAATTATTAACAACCATACCTAAAACAAAAACAAAAACAAACTAAGCAAACAACTAGGAGTGTAGCCACAGAAATGGAGATCACATGGAGGGTTAGCAACAGGGGAGTGGGGAGAGGAGAGGGGGGAGAAGGTACACAGAGTAAGTAGCAGAGACTGGGGAGAAAATAGACTGGGGAAGGGCAAGAGTAGTGTGGGAAATGTAGAAGCTAAAGAACTTATGACACATGGACATGAACTAAAGGGGGGGAATGTGGGTGGGAGGGGGTGTGCAGGGTGGAGGGGAATGTAGGGGGGGAATGGGATAACTGTAATAGCATAATCAATAAAATATATTTAGAAAAACAATTTTAAACTGCGGAGAATGAACTCCCCACACTCCCAGAGCCCCACCACAGACATGCACATCTTGTATCCTCCAGTTTCCTTGCGGTGTTTACATCACAGTAACGGTCAGGTGCTCTTCAGGGTTTGCAGTTTATTATACACACTATGCAAATGTTCCTCATAGCTGAGCTGTGTAGTGTGTACATGATTTAAACATTTTGTTTATTCTGTTGTTAGTAATTGCATTTTGGTGGTGGTGGGGGGTGCTTGGTTTTATTTTGTATATATTACCAGTTCAGCACTAAACTTTACTTCAGTTTTATGCATCTCTTGTCAGTGTGGTCAAATATTTCAAGTGTTCTATCATTTTCTTCTTCCTGAAGAAATCTTCCCCTGAGCCCTCTGATGCTGTTCCAACTCTAAACCTATTGCTCTCTCAGTTTGCTGCAGTAATGTCTTCTTGGGCTTTTTCTTTACCGTCATGCTGGTGATTTTTTAAATTTTTTGCCTCTTACTTACATTGGATCTTCTTATTTCCTGAATTGCACGCCTTTTTTGCTTTAGTTCCTTTTTTAGTGCACATCCTAGTAGTATTCTGAGGAGGAAGAAGAGTCGGATTTTTACATTTAAATTGTCCGTATCTCAGTGTGTGTGGATTGTACCAGTGTCAGTTTCCTAGTTATGCTGTTGTACTAGATACCGGATTTGTCTACTTAACTACTGTTACTGTGTGACAGAAGATCTTACTGTTGGGGGAACTAGGTAAAGAGTACACAAGACCTCTCTGTACTATTTTTATAATTTCTTGTGAATTTATAATTACTCAAAATAAAAAGTTTAAAAATACCATTCTGTTCTTTCCCTGGCTGGTATGGCTCAGTGGATTGAGTGCTAGCCTGTGAACTGAAAGCCTGCCAATTTGATTCCTGGTAAAGACACATGCCTGGGTTGTGGGCCAGGTCCCCAGTTGGGGATGTGCTGAAGGCAGCCAATCAATGTTTCTGTCACACATCAGTGTTTCTCTCTCTCTCTTTCTCTGCCCCCCTCTGAAAACTGTCTTTTTTTCCCCCACAATGTTTTTAAAAGATTTAATTTAATTACCTATTTTTAGAGAAAGGGGAATGGAGGGAGGAAGAGGGAGAGAAACATCAATGTGTGGTTGCCTCTCACACGCCCCCTACTGGGGACCAGGCCCACAACCCAGGCATGTGCTCTAGACTAGGAATCGAACTAGCAACCTTTCAGCTCACAGGCCGGCACTCAGTCCACTGAGCCACAGCAGCCAGGGCTAAAAAATAAAGTCTTTAAAAAATATTTTTTTAAGTTTCTATTCTGCTCACCTCCCTCAGTGGTCCAGAGTTCTAGGTTGGAAGTCATTTTTATCAGAAATTTTTAAGGGTTTTGCTCCATTTTCTTCTAGTTTCTAGTGCTGGCAATTTAGATATTTGATTGTGTTTTTGACTCTTGAGTGTTACCTGCTTTGCCCTCCCTATGGCAGCATGTGGGGTTTTTCCTCTTCTTTACCGTATTAACTTTCGTGATAATGTACCCTACTATGGGTCTAGTTTAATTACACGAGGGACTCGATAAACCTTACGTGGGAAAGATGTTTTTCAGTAAATGGACTTGATTTCCGTGTGGGTGGTTTCTCCCCTCCATTGCATCCGTTCCCTCCACAGTGCCCGGTAGTCAGATATTAGGCCTCTGAGGCTGGTCCTCTTGTCTTGCTTCTTTTTTCCCACCACTTTGTCTTTATGTTGTATTTTCTGAGAGAGTCAGGTTTTTCCTCCTAACCCTTCTATCAAGTAGAGTTCTTTATTTCTTCTCACATTTGAAATTTCCAATGGCTGTTTTGGTTCCTTGAATATTTATAAATAGTGAATGGCAGAGGGACTGTAAGAAAGCCAGAGGGGAAGAAGGCTGGAGTTTTCTGTATTTGTTCAGCATAGTGCCGTGCCCTCAACGGTGCCTGATAGCCTCAGTCCAGAGATCATCTCTTCCATCAGTGCTTCTGCTACAGTGGGGGTAGGGGGCTTTTACCTAGCCACACCCAGTGGGAGAGGGGGTTTGGGGTCTCCCTGCCTCTTCAACAGATTTAATCTGTCCTCTTCATCTTTACCTGGTTTTTGTTCTAGCTTTACCTTCCCTTATAGAGGTAGCTGGTGTCTTATCTTTTTGCCAGATTCTGGCATAAATTTAGTTGGCCGTTAACTTTTCTCCGCATGGAATTTGGTTTTCTTCATTCTCCGATGTCAGTTACCATTTGTCCATCTGCTTTTTAGCTTTGAAAATTTTGTAGTTGTTACTCTTTTCTTTCATTCTCCTTCTTCTTGTAGGCTTTTACGCTAAAAAAATGCCTTTCTGTTGTTTTCATGGGAACTCAAGAGCGAACAAAGACAGATGGGTGGTTTAAACTGCCCCTTTTGCCCTGGCTGGTGGAGCTCAGTTGGTTGGAGCATTGTCTAGTAAACCAAAGGGTTGTTGGTTTGGTTCCTGGTCAGGGCACGTACCTGGGTTGTGGGTTTGGCCTCTGTCAGGGTCTCTCTCTCTCCCCTGCTTCACGCTCTCTCCCCATTCCTCTCTCTCTGGAATCAATAAATATATCCTTGGGTGAGGATTAAAACCAAAATGTAACTGCCTATTTTAACAGTAAGTTTCTCCTTACCCCTTTAACCTATGAAAGTTTGGATATTCCCTGGTTGGTGTGGCTCTGGATTGAGTGCTGGCCTGTGAACTGTAGGGTCAACAGTTTGAGTACCAGTAAAGTCACATGTCTAGGTTGCAGGCCAGGTCCTCAGTTGGAGGTGTATGAGAGGCAACTGAGAGGTGTATCTCTCACTGATGATTCTCTCCCTCCCTCTCTTTCTCCTTCACTTCCCCTCTCTCTAAAAATAAATAAATAAAATCTAAAAAAAAAGGTGGATGTTATTTCTCAAATTATCTCCCAGTTAGCTATCCATGGATACTTTTCTCCTCTTATCCTTTTAAATTTTCTAGTTGATTCTGTTACTCACTTGTTCCTTCTTTAAACTCTCTATTCACTTATCTTCTGTGATACCAGGACTCTTACCTCAGGCTTCTCCTTCATGAACTCTTCTTCCCTTGTTCTCCCCTTAAATGTTAGTGTTCCACAGTAAATTCAGTGTGTGGTCTCACCCAAATTCATGATTTTTCCTATTATCTGTCTCCTCATGATTTTCTAATCTGCATCTTTTGTTTAGTTGTCTCCTGAGTCCCAGCTTAATGTAGCCAACTGTCTAAAGGAATTCTTAACTTGGTGGCCTCTCTGACTCTCGAGTCGAACTTATCTCTCTCCCATGCCTGTAGCCTCCAGTTGTGCTGCTGTCACCACTGCCGAGAACAGACTTTCCTCTGCCAGCTTACCCCTTCTGTGATTTGTGTCTTTGTGTATGACATCCCTGTCTCAGTCCAGAGAACTGGGAGTCGTCCTCAGTTCTTCCTGCCGGACCATTACCGTGTCTGTCAGTCATCTCATCCTCAGTTTTCTTACCGTGTTTTCTGCTCTGCTGCCCACTGCCTCCGTTCAGGCCTTTGTTACACCTGGATGAATGCAGAAGTTTTCTAACTGGTATTTCTACTTCTGGCTCCATTTTTACATTCTGGTCCCTCACATCGCCGCGATAGCCATCTCTGTCTTATCCTTCAGGGTACAGTTCGGACTGCTTGGCATGGCTTAGAAGGCCCACCCTTTTCACCTCTGACTTATCTTTGGAAGTTTCTCCACATTCTTTTGTTGTAGCCAGACCAGTCTTTTTGTGGTTCCTTGAACAAGTTCATGATTTGAACGTGAAGTATGCTCTGCCCTGCCTCATATAGCAAACTCTGCTCCATTATGAGTCATCTATACCAGTTGTACTTGCTCCAGAAAAATCTTTATTGTTCAAGTTTGAGTTGTATGTCATTTTTGGTATACATCTTTGTACTTTTTTACACAGAATATTATTTTCAGTCTACTTTGCTGTTTCTCTCACTAGTCCATAAGCTCCTGAAGTGCAGAAATTGCTTCTTTTATTTGTATGCTCAGCTTGTAGCACATAGAAGGTATTCAACAAGTGTTGAGTGAATGGATGCTTATTGTCAGTGGATATTTAGTGAATGGATGCTTATTGACATTTAATCTTCCTCTTCATTGTGCTTAAAACCTGTCTCAGTCTCTCTGTTCTTCTATCCCTTCCCTTCTAATGTCTTTTGCACCATTTTTTTGCCTAAAAAGGAAGTTTCCTTGTGTCCAGGATGAGGGTTAAGGTGCTGTCATTGCAGCTGTTGTGCAGGAGCAAATTTGAAGTAAGATTTCTCTGCCCATCTGTTTTCTCTTCTCTATGACCTAATCTTTTCCTTTCCTGGTGACCAGAATGGAGATTGTCAGTTACACGGTATAAGTAGTTGTGAAGTCTTTATTAATTAGAGGTAGTTCAGTTTGAAGTGCAGAAGCATGCAGCACGTGCTGTTCCTATGCGTGTGTGTATGGGCGTGTGTTCGTTTGTGTCTCCATCGAGCTACTCCCCACCACACCCCACAGCCCGACAGAGGGTGCTGTTTCTGAAAGGAATGCAAATCTTGCTTTGTTTTTTGATGCTCAGTTTTATAAGAAGACCAAACAGCTGCCCATCTTAGGGAAGTGTTGTGAGGAAGTCCAGCCACATCAGTGGAAGCCACCTATGGAAAGAGAAGAACACCGGCTTCCGTTCTGGTTAAAGGTAAGCTAGAGGCAGAAGGTCACTGGAAGCATCATGGCTACCACGCACCTCTTATACTTTAGTTGCTGCGGTAGGACTTCTTATCCTTCTCATTCGTCCGTCCCTTCCTCCTCCCTCTCACCAGGTGATTCGACAATCTTTTTTTTAAATTGATTTTAGAAAGAGAGAAAGAGACAAATATCAACTTGTTGTTCTACTTCTAATTGGTTGATTCCCCTGTGTCCCTTGACCAGGGATATCTTAGCATATCGGGATAAAGCTCTAACCAACTGAGCTACCTGGCTAGGGCATTCTACAACCTTTCAAAAACAGTGGGTAAAATGATAGTTTCTTATAGGAAATTCAGAGAAGAGTTTCTAGAGCACACAATTGGAATATAATCTTCATAGAAATTTGACATTGTGCAGAAAACTCTTTCTTTAGAAGATTATCTTGAGACTATCCTGGAAAGGTCCCAGAAATCTAGAAATGCAAAATTTAATTTAATTTTTTTAATTTACTTTTTTATTTTATTATTTATTTACCACTTTTTGGCATGTGCTAGATCAGAGCATTCTTGTTCTAAATAGGCCAGTCTGCCGTCCATCCAGGAGGAGCTACAGCGCATAGCTGATGGTGCCAGAGAGGCAGGAAATGTGACTGGAACCCCAGGGATCAAGCCGGACCCAGACCTAGGAAAAGGCAGCTCAGAATTGGGGAGTGAGACTCGGTACCCACTGCTATTACCTAAAGGTGTAGTCCTGAAACTGAAGCCAGTTGCCAACTGCTTCTCCAGGAAGGGCTGGAGACAGAAGCGGTCATCAGCCCTGAAGCCCCTCCTTATCAGACCCAGCCCCTCTCTCCAGCCTAACTCCAGTTCTGGGAAAATACCACTTAGGTCAACTCAGTCAGAAGCCCCTCCAAGCAAAATGGTGGTGCGGATTCCTCACACAATCCAGCCAGCCACCATCCTACAGCCAGTACCAGCTGTCCCTCCACTGGGGGTTACTGGAGGCAATAGTTTTGAGTCTTCAACAGTACTGCCTACCATACCCCCTGATTCCAGGACCAGCTTCCCTCCATCTGAGCCCCAGACCCTCCTGTCCTCTGCTCCTGTGCCCAAGATAATGCTGCCCTCACTTGCTCCTTCTAAGTTTCGAAAGCCATACGTAAAACGAAGAGGCCCAAAGAGAAAGGGGGCCAAGACCTCTCTCTGTTTGAAGTCTGTCCCCCTCATCAACTCTGCACCTGTCATCTTCACTGTTCCCGCCACCACTGTGAAGGTTGTGAGCCTTGGCAGTGGCTGCAACATGATTCAGCCTGTCAATGCAACTGTGGCCCAGAGTTCTCAGACCCTTCCCATCACCACCCTGTTAGTTAACCCCACTTCCTTCCCCTGTACATTGAACCAGCCCCTTGTGGCTTCCTCCATCCCACCCTTAATTGTTTCTGGCAACTCTATGAATCTTTCTGTACAGTCCACCCCTGAAGATAAAGCCCAAGTGAGTAGGGACGTTGGTTGTCCTTTGGATGAAGGGAAAAATACCTTTCAAGGCCTAGTACCCAAATTAGAACCACAGGAGCTATCTCCTCTCTGTGCTACCATCTTCCCCAAAAAGGAGCACAGCCCAGAGCCCCCATCATCAGATAGAGTGGGCCAGGAGGAACTGTTGGAGAACAGTGCCTATGTCTGGACCGTTGTGAAAACGGAGGAGGGGAGGCAAGTTGTGGAACCACTGCCCCAGGGCTTCCAGGAATCTGGGAGCTCTCCTGGAGATGTAGAGAAAATTGTCAAGGTGGAGCCTAAAGATTGTGGGGAGGAGATCGCCAGTGGATGTCCAGAGCAGACCATTTGTGATGAAATCAAAGAAGAATACTCGGTGGAATTGGACCCTGGCTCCCCTAGTGAGGAGTCAAAGGGTACAAGAGAAGCAAAGAAACAGACGGTCTTACAAAAAGAGGAGGAGAAGAGTCAACCACCTGTAACACCTTCAGCTTCTCAAGAGCCTTCTGATGGAGGAAATTCAGGAAATGTGAGCAAAGAATCTCCGAAGAATGCATCGTCCTCCGCTCACCCTGAAATGGTGCTTAGCAGCCCCCCAGGGAAACCCGAAGACTTAGCCAGCATTGACAGTCAGTCAGTGGAGACCCCGGCGGGGCTGGAAACTGGAGGAGAAAAGGAGGGGCCGGAGGAGGAGGAAGAAGAGGACTTTGATGACCTTACCCAGGATGAGGAAGATGAGATGTCATCAGCTTCTGAGGAGTCTGTGCTCTCTGTCCCAGAACTCCAGGTGAGAGTTGGAATATTCTCATTTATTTTGTGGATTCAGTAATATATTTACTTCATCGATAAGCCACCTGCTTGCTTGCTGCACTATAGATACTTGTAAAATCATTTTTATTTGACTTTTGAATACATTATGGGACATAATTTTGGGTTTGAGGTGAGAGGGGAGGGAAAGGGTGACATTGACTTGCTATATTTGACTTAAATGCATATAAATGTTAAATTGAATCGCTTAAGCACAATTTAGGCATTAATTTAAACACCTAAAAAATAGATTGTAGCCCTGGCTGGTGTAGCTCAGTGGATTAAGCACAGGTCTACGAACCAGAGGATCACAGTTCGATTCCCAGTCAGGGCATATGCCTGGGTTGCAGGCTGGTTCCCTGCAGGCCGGTTCCCAGCAGGGGATGCATGACAGGCAACCATACACTGTTGTTTCTCTCCCTCTCTCCTTCCCCTCTAAAGATAAATAAATAAAATAAAATAAAAATAGATTGTAAGTGTGGACTGTGGCAAAGAAAACTGTCTTCAGGGTAGAGGGTACCTTTCCAAACACATCCCAGCTACCCCTGTGACTCCGTAACAGAGAACCAGGCTTGGACAACTGTGGTGCCTGCCCGCCCCCGACACACACACTTCATCTGATCACCCTCAGTTCCTCTTGAAAAACTCTGTTCAGTCACATGGTGAGCCATTATCAGCCCTTACGAACACTCTTCGTGGGGGCGCGGGTTTGCAGGAAACAATGGAGAAACTGACTTGGCTCGCATCAGAAAGGCGCATGAGTCAGGAGGGTGAGTCTGAGGAAGAGAACTCTCAGGAAGAGAACTCTGAGCCTGAAGAAGAGGAGGAAGAAGAAGCCGAAACAGAAGGAATGGAAAGCCTGCAGAAAGAGGATGAAATGACAGATGAAGCCATAGGGGACCCTGCCGAGAAACCTCCTACCACCTTTGCTTCACCCCAGACCGCTCCAGAAGTGGAGCCCAGTAGGACCCCACCAGGTGAGTCTGGCAAGCCTGTAGGAGGGGCAGGTCTCAGTTGCCCTCACTGTCTAAAGGACGTGCAGAGTGAGTAGCTTGTAAATCAGGTGACAAGTTTTCAGAGCTCCTCTGGATTGCCCCTGCACCTCCCTTCCCCCAAACAGTATTCACCTCGGTGCCGTTACAAAGAAGAAACGCTCAGAAATTTTAAGTTCGCATCAGCTGCTAGATTCATATCTGGTTCATCCAAGTTTTTATACTGGCTCTTAATTTATTTCTCATGCATGAGGCTAAAAGCTGTGTTTATTTTAGAAAACACTGCTTACTCCTCACCTAGACATAGTCTCTTGAGAGCCCAACATAAGGCCATACTCACTCTCGAGACTGCTGACTCTGCATAGAGCTGCCCTGGTGGAGACAGACATGCCTCTTACACCACTTTCCCAGCAGCTTTTCTCCTGAGTTGGACCGTACCATTGCAAGGGTTTGCATGGGGTGGGTGCATGTGGTCGGATGGGAAGAGCATGGGTTGCAGAGAGGAAGAAACAGTCTTTTTCACATGTACTCTCAGGAGAAAGCATCAAAGCTGCTGGAAAGGGCCGGAGTAATCATCGAGCTCGGAACAAGCGGGGCAGTCGGGCCCGGGCCAGCAAGGATACATCCAAGCTGCTGTTGCTGTATGATGAGAACATTCTCGAGAGGGATCCACTCAGGGAACAGAAGGATTTGGCCTTTGCTCAGGCTTATCTGACCAGGGTAGGCAAATGCTGCTTCCTGTTACCTCTTTTCCATCTGAATGAGGCTACTTTTCCTATAAGGGAGGTATTTTTAAAATGAAGTCTGGTGCTGGCTGCTGTGGCTCAGTAGATTGAGCACTGGCTTGCAAACCAAAAGGTTGCTGGTTCAATTCCCAGTCAAGGCACATGGCTGAGTTGTGGGCCAGATCACACATCAGTGTTTCTCTCTTTCTCTTTCTCTCTCCCTTCCCCTCTCCCTAAAATCTCCACCTTTGCTCTGTGTGAGAGAACCAGAAGGAGACAGAATTCAGTCTCATAAACAGCTTTATTGTACCTTAGTACCTTAACGTCACTCTTCCGTTGCCCAGAAGTTGGGGAAAGGTGATACCACTGTCCATCATCAGTAGAGGTTGTGACTTCACTGAGTCAGGCTAAAATAAGGACCTTTACTGTGCCCTTGTCTTGTGAAGAAAGACCTACGTTACACTGCCAGAGAGTGGATCTCAGAGAAGCGCCTCGATCTCCACAGACGTGAACCAGTATGAACCAACCTGTTCCCCTGAGGTGTCCTGGGTAGCCGTCTCGTTCTTTTGCTAACCAGTTGGTTCCTTTATCCTCTAAGCAAAGTAGAGTGCTAGCAGTGATAGTCATGGATTTTTCTTATCTCCTAATATTTTACTAACAATCCTAATTTTTGTATTATTTACACTCATATGATACCATGCTGAAGTGTATGTATGGAATACTTCTTTTCTATTTCAATACAGAGCGAAAATCAGAAAAGACAGGTGAGGGCCGTAAGCTAGAACCAAGCTTTCCTGGCTTTGTGGGGAGGGCTGTAGCCCCTAGAGAATGAAGGCTTTCCAGTTGTCCTCTACCAGAAAAGGAGCTGCGCCTTTCTCGTGGTCTTCCATTAACAGTCGGGCCTTAGAGCCTGTCAGAGGAGGGACAGTTCTTAGAGCTCTCTAATTATAACTCCTCATCATTGCTTGGTACTGCTGTTTTTTGTGGCAACCCAAAGAAAGGGTACTGGTGATTGAAAGTCTTCCTGTACAGGTACGAGAGGCCTTGCAGCATATTCCTGGCAAGTATGAGGACTTCCTTCAGGTTATCTACGAATTCGAGTCAAGTACTCAGAGGCAGACGGCTGTGGATCTCTACAAAAGCCTGCAAGTTCTACTCCAAGACTGGCCTCAACTCTTGAAGGACTTTGCCGCTTTCCTGTTGCCTGAGCAAGCTCTGGCCTGTGGATTAGTGAGTAGATGGGCAAAGACAACACACTGGGATTCCTGGGTCAGAGTGAAACTAGATTTGAATGGAGTTGATTAACACTTTCCCAGTCTCCTGACTGCTTCCAGTTAGATGGCTTTCTCCTTGCCTCCTTCATTTCAAAAGATAATCTTCCAACTTCATCCTCCCTTTTTTTTTAAATTTTACTTTTATTAATTTTTATTTATTTATCTTTAGAGGGGAAGGGAAGGAGAGAGGGAGAGAAATATCAATGTATGGTTGCCTTTCATGTGTCCCATGCTGGGAACTGGCCTGCAACCCAGGCACATGCCCTGACTGGGAATCTAACCACGGTTGTTTGGTTCACAGGCCCACGCTCAATCCACTGAGCTACACCAGCCAGGACCCTCTCATTTTCTTTACATGGGGAATGGGGGGCTTTATGCACTTGCCGTGAAGACCTCAGTTAAATCATATGCCCTTTACTCCTCATCATTGTGAAACAGACATTCTTTGATCAAGTATTTAATGAATGCCTACTATGTGTCAGGCAAAGTCCTAGGCAGCAGGAATGTAATAGTTATAAAAGATTAAAATCCTTGCCTTTTCCCTGACCAGTGTGGCTCGACTGGTTTGTCATCATCCCACAAAACAAAAGGTCACCATGCCCGGGTTGCAGGTTCAGTCCTGGTTGGGACATGTGCAAGAGGCAGCCAATCGATGCTTCTCTCTGACATCAATGTTTCTCTCCCTTCCTTTTTCCCTCCCTTCCCCTCTCTCTAAAAGATGAATAAAATTTAAAACAGAAGATGTTTTTTTAAAAATCTTCCCCTCGTGGAGTTTATATTCTCATGGGGAAAGTCAGATGATAGACCATAAAATGTATATACAGGGTGTGGCAAAAGTAGGTGTACAGTTGTAAGTACACAAAACAGTTTCTTATTTATTAGTTACTGTATTATGTTCTATATGAACAACTATAAATCTACCTTTATCCCACCCTCATATTATAAAAATTATAAAATAGATATAAATAGTATATAATGCTTTATAGTGATGATGCTCTATAGAAAAGTAAAGTAGGAAGCAGAAATAGAGAGTAGTGGGTAAATGGGTGAGGGTTGGAGTGTTGCAATTTTATACATGATGGGTTGGGAGGGCCACTGTGGTAAGGTGACATTTGAAATGTTGGAGTGTAAGTGTTATCCCAGTAGTTATGGGGTCTTTGTCATGACTGAAAAACACAAGAATAAAGAATATAATGAAATTGTTCTGATAGTCTTAAGGCAGTTAAATGATAACGGAATGATTGTGCATGTCATGCAGAGCTTCCTATATTATTTTGAGAATCAAATGAATGTTTATGTGAAAATTCTTTGTAAACTGAATGCTACATCACTTTGAGTATCTGGTTTCACAATCATGAAACAATAAATGACTTTTGAGTCGTTTATTGAGATATGCCCATCTCTGGAATCTTTCATTCATACCTTAGTTATCTTGAATTAGTAGACCCCAGAAACCTGAGGTGGATAAATGCTAGCAGTCTTACAAAAGATCACACAGTTGTAAACTAGAGCCCTGTGCCCCCAGCCCATTTTTTTTCTTTGTTGCTATGCTCACGTCCTGCTCTAGCTGTATATGTGACTCCTCTTTTGCCCTCTTTCACTCTGGTAGTTTGAGGAGCAGCAGGCTTTTGAGAAGAGTCGCAAGTTTCTCCGGCAGCTGGAGATTTGCTTTGCAGAGAACCCCTCACACCACCAGAAGATTATCAAGGTCCTCCAAAGCTGTGCAGACTGCCTGCCCCAGGAGATCGCTGAGGTAGTTTCTCCTCTTCTGCTTCCTTTCCTTTGTCATCTGGGCCTTAGGCCCTCCTTCCCTTCTGCCATTGCCTAACCTAGTCTATATCCTTTTGCTTCTGAGGGAGCATGTACTTCCTGGGGGGGATGGACTTTTTAAGCTTGGCTAAAGCAAACACTGGAGTAGGGAGTGGTTACCACCTGAAGCCATATCACGACTTTACAGGCTTAGGAATGCCATCTATGCCCTGGACAGGAAAATTTCAAGGAAGAGGGTGATGGGTCTTGGGAGAAGCTTGGCCCCTTGCTATGCTTGTGTTAAGCTGGAGATCAGTGGCAGGTTAGAGAATGTTATTACTAGGAATCAAAACTTAACTGTTTTGTCCCTGGCTGGTGTGGCTCAGTGGATTGAGCACTAGCCTGCGAATCAAAGGGTCACGGGTTGATTCCCAGTCAGGGCACATGCCTGGGGTGCTGGCCAAGTAAGGTCCCCAGTAGGGGGCGCCATGAGAGGCAACCACACATTGATGTTTCTCTTCCTCTTTCTCCCTCCCTTCCCCTCTGTCTAAAATAGATAAATAAAATAAAACTTACTGTTTTGTTTGTGTTAAAGATTTTATTTATTTATTTGTTTGTTTGTTTATAGAGAGAGGATAAGGGAGGGAGAGAGGGCAAGAAACATGGATTAGTTGCCTTCCATATCCCAGCTAGAGACCAAAGCCAGCAACCCAGGCATGTGCCCTGACCGGGAGTCAAACTGGTAACCTTTCACTTTGTGGGATGACACTCAACCAGAAGGCTGTTTGTTTTTTTACATTTTACATTCATTCATTCATTCATTCATTCATTCATTCATTCATTCATTCACTTATTATCCTCACTCGAGGTCATGCTTATTGATTTTTTCAGAGAGGGGTAGGAAAGTAGAGAGAGAAGGAGAGAAACATCAATGTGAGAAACACTGATCAGTTGCCTCTTGTGTGTGCCCTGACCAGGGACCAAACCTACAACCTAGACATGTGTCCTGACTAGGAATGGAGCCCGCCACATGGGTATCCCATAAAGGGACAGCACTCCAGCCAATTGAGCCACATCTGTCAGGGCCAACCCTATTGTTAATACTCCTCCTGTGTAGGCAAGAAAAGGGAGAGGAAGTTAAAGAATTCTTAGCTGTCAACTCTGGCTGGTATGGCTCAGTGGATTGAGTTTCAGCCTGAGAACCAAAGGGTTGTCTGTTAGATTCCCTGTTAGGGCACATGCCTGGGTTGTGGGCCAGGTTCCCAGTGGGGGATGTGTGAGAGGCAGCCACACATAGATGTTTATCTCCCTCTTTTTCTCCCTCCTCTCCCTTCTCTCTAAAAGAAAATACAATTTTTAAAAATAAGAGAGAATTCTTAGCTATCAGCCCTGACTGGTGTGCCTCAATGCATTGGGCATTGTTCTGCAAACTGAAGGGTCACCAGTTCGATTCCTGGGTGGAGCCACACCTGGATTGCAGGCCAGGTCCCTGGTTCGGGACATGCAAGAGGCAACTGATAGATATTTCTATTGCACATTGATGTTTCTTTCCCTGTCTTTCTCCCCTCTTCCTTTCTCTCTAAAAATAAATAAATAAAATCTTTTAAAAAAAAAAAGAATTCTTAGCCCTCAAGGAGAATCTCCTGTGTTTCTCCCAGTTGACTAGGAAAGTGGAACTTTGAAATATATGAGATTGGTTTGGAATTTGGCCTAGAGAGGCTCTCGAGACTTCATCTTTCCCTCTACAACTCTTCGTAGCTCAAGACACAGATATGGCATCTCCTCAAGGGCCATGACCATCTGCAGGATGAGTTCTCCATCTTCTTTGACCATCTGCGCCCAGCAGCTAGCCGGATGGGTGACTTTGAAGAGATCAATTGGACTGAGGAGAAAGAGTACGAGGTACAGGCCTGAAGCTGCAGTAGGGTTGTGAGGGGAGGAGGCCTCGTATAGGAGGGAGGACCTGCCCAGAGCTTCAGTGGCACCGTCTTCTCCCCAGTTTGATGGCTTTGAAGAAGTGGCTCTGCCTGATGTGGAGGAAGAAGAGGAACCTCCCAAGATACCCACAACCTCAAAGAACAAAAGAAGAAAGGAGATTGGGGTCCAAAATCATGATAAGGTACACCAGATTGTTAGAGATTGTCCATTTTTCATGAATCAAGCCTTAAGTTTCTGCCTAAGTGTTTCTCAGGCTTAGTGTGGTGCAGAGCGTCTGGGACCTGAGGCTGCAGTGGATGTGCGGAGCCCACAGGCAGAGCAGTGCACCTGCCGAGCAGGCGCCACTCCCAAATGCCTCTTTCGAAGGATCTGTTTCCCGTTTTCTTTCTAGCTCAGAGCTATTTCTCTTGCCTTTGGGTCTTAATATCTCTGTTCATGTGAAGAAATAGAAGCAAGATTCCCCAATTTAATAATAATGGTAATGGTTAGAACTTAGGTGTGTTACAAAATACCAAGTATCTCTTGAAAGTATTTTACATGGATTATTCACTCATTTAATTCTCACAATAATCATATGAAGAGATTGCTCTTATTTGCATTTTACAGAAGAAGAAACAAGTTCAGAGAGAGGCCATTGCCAGTGTCTCATAATTAATAAGTGGCAGTGCTAAGATCTGAACCCAGGTAATCTGTCTCCAGAGTCTGCTCTTATTCATTGCTCTCTCCTGCACTTCAGGAAGTAGCATTTTTAACCCATGGCCCTGTACTCCACGCCTTTTACTATTTCTTAGGGAAAAACTGCTTAATAGCTGGATACCTTGGGCAATTTATTTGTTTCTTCATCATCGATGGGAATAATAATGGTGCTTACGTCTTGCGTTCATTAAACAGAGAGTATCATTTGAATGAGCCTTCCATATGTACAAAGCCCTTTGTCAAGGGGATTGGGGAAGGGGGGAGAGAGCTCAGGGCACAGAGAGGCAGAAACAAAGACAGGTGAGTGAGTACACATATCTCCTGGTGGAGCTCTCTAGTGATTTCACCTCAGGTTATATTTGACTTAAATATGACTGGAAACACCTGGGCAACTAGGACATGTCATTTTTTGTAGTCATTTAAGGATTGTTTAAGGGATTCATAATAGACTTTAGTCAGGTTTGGATGTTGATTTCCTCAGGCAATGTGAAGAGATGGTGTTTAATAAAAGAGAAAAGGCCCTGGCCAGGAGGCTCGGTTAGAGCATCATCCTGTTCATCAAAAGGTTGCAAGTTCAGTCCCTTCTTGGTGTACCCGTGGAAGGCAGCCGATTTCTCTCTTTCTTTCTCTCCCTTTCTCCCTCTCTTCCCCTCCCTACTCCCCTTACCCCTTCTCTCTAAAAAAAAAGAGAGAGAAAGGATGGAGTTGGGGGAGTCAAGGGGTAGGCTGAGCTTTCTCTCTTAGTACCAAAATGCTTGGCAGCCAACCGAGCCCAGGTATCTTCTAGGAAGCTGAGTGGCCAGATGGTGCCAAAGACTGTGCCTGTTCATGCCATGAAGGAGGTCCTGACTGCAAACTGAAGAAGAGCAAAAGGAGAAACTGTAGCCACTGCAGCAGCAAGGTGAGGTGGGGGAGACTGGTACCAAAGGGAGTCAGAGCTGCTGCTCTAGGTCAGCCTCCGGGTTGCCCTACTGTTGGGGTGTTGTTTCCTACCATAGAAGTGTAACCTCCACACACATATAGAATACAAATACAGTCTTTTATTTTGATTTTTTAATATATTTTATTGATTATGTCATTACAGTTGTTCTATTTCCCCCTTCATTACCCTCTACCCTGCACACCCCTCCCCCACCATTCCACCCCCTTTTAGTTTATGACCATGTGTCTCAAGTCCTTTAGATTCTGTATTTCCCCTACTATTCTTGTCCTTCCCCCCATCTATTTTCTACCTACCGTCTGTGCTACTTATTTTCTTTACCTTCTCCCCCCTTCTCCTCCTCCCACTCCCCTGATGCTACCCCTCCATGTGATCTTCATTTCTATGGTTCACTCCTGATCTAGCTGTCCTCTTAGTTTGCTTTTGTTTTAGGTGTGGTTCTTAATAACTGTGAGTTTGCTGTTCTTTCACTGTTCATGTTTTTTATCTTCTTTTTTCTTAGATAAGTCCCTTTAACATTTCATATAATAATGGCTTGATGATGATGAACTCCTTGAATTTGACCTTATCTGAGAAGCACTTTATCTGTCCTTCCATTCTAAATGAAAGCTTTGCTGGATAGAGCAATCTTGGTTGTAGGTCTTTGGATTTCATGACTTGGAATACCTCTTTTCAGCCCCTTCTTGCCTGTAAGGTCTCTTTTGAGAAATCACCTGACAGTCTGATGGGAACTTTTTTGTAGGTGACTGTCCCCTTCTCTCTTGCTGCTTCTAGAATTCTCTCCTTCATTTTAATCTTGGCTAATTATGATGTGCCTTGGTGTGTTCCTTCTTGGGTCCAACTTCTTTGGGACTCTCTGTGCTTCCTGGATTTCCTGGAAGTCTGTTTCCTTTGCCAGATTGGGGAAGTTCTTTACTATTTGTTCAAATAAGTGTTCCACTCGTGGGTGTTCCTCTTCCCCTTCTGGTACCCCTATAATTTGGATGTTGAAATGTTTCAAGATGTCCTGGAGGTACCTAAGCCTCTACTCATTTTTTTTGAATTCTTGTTTCTTCATATTTTTCTGTTTGGTCATTTTTTTCTTTCTTCTGGTCCACTCGATTGATTTGAGTCCCAGTTTCCTTTCCATCACTACTGGTTTCCTGTGCATTTCCCTTCATTTCAATTAGTTTAGCCTTCATATGTTCCTCTAATTTGTGACTAAAATCAACCAGTTCTGTGAGCATCCTGATCACCAGTGTTTTAAACTGTGCATCTGATAGGTTGGCAATTTCTTGTTCGATTAGATTTATCGGCTCTGGGGCTCTGGTTGTTCTTGAGCCATATTTTGATCTGTTCGAGCCTGTTACGTATGAGGAGGGGAGCTTTAGGTGTTCACCAGGGTGGGACTAACCAGGTTACTGGTTTGTGATGCTGTATGTGGGGGTGGGGTCAGAGGGAGCAATGGCGGTCCCCTATGCTCCTTCTGGCCACTGAGGCCTGTGAGTCTGTCTCACTGCTCATTCCTTCAGTGGTTTATCTGTGCGGAAATGTGTGACCAAGATCAACCTGCTGCCTTGCGCCTTCACTGGGTCTGCCTGCCACTACTCCCACATCTGGGATCCGCCCTTGGCTGCCTGCTCGCCTGGGTTGGGGGATCTTTATTGCCTGGCCTGCTCCGCTGCTGGCTCTGCCCCTCTTACCGGTCTGGCCTAGTGTTTTGTTGTTGTTGGACTCTCGTATTGTTCAATTTTCTGTGGTTTGGCTGTGTTTTTGTTGCTAAAACTTTGTTGTTTTTTGACTTGGTTGTGCAAGAAGGTACAGTGTTTCCACCTACGCCTCCATCCTGGCGGAAGTCCCAAATACAGTCTTTTTAAAATTGCCTTGGTCGGTGTGGCTCAGTTGGTAGGAGCATCATCCCATAACCAGAGTTGCATGTTTAGTTCCTGGTCAGGGCACACATACATCAGGATTGGAAGTCAGATCCCAGGTCTGGGGCGTGGACAGGAGGCAACCAGTCGAGGTTCCTCTTTCACATCAGTGCTTCCCTTTCCCTTCCTCTGTCTCCTCTTCTTTCTCTAAAAGCAATGAAGAAAGATGTCCTGAGGTGAGGATAAAATAAAAATAAAGCTATATCATGGATTTTGCTTTTTAAAGAGAATCCTATTGATAAAGCTTTCAGAGTTGGGAAAAAAATCAACCAGTTCAAATATTTTTTCTTAGATTTTTTTTTTTTTAATGAAGTAAACCTCTGGAAAACAGATGCTAAAGGTGATACTGGTTCTCTAGGGTAGGGTTGATTGGGTTAAAAAATTCAGTCTTTAGGTAAAGGAATGGTTGAATCCAGTGTTCTGTTTGGGCATTTTAAGTCCTTGGAGTAGGCATGCATCTTGATTGACTTGCTGAGCATTACAGTGGGGCCTCTCCCTTTTGTGGGCCCCTAAGACATAGGAAATAGAGATCTTTGACTCACAATGCCATCTCTGCAGGTCTGCGACAGTAAATCCTACAAGAGCAAGGAGCCGAATGAGTTTGGGGGTGGCAGCCCCCAACGAGAGGCCAGTCCTATGCTTGGTGCTAAGGAAGCTCGGCAGGGCAAGGACGTGATGGAGGAGGAAGCTCCAGAGGAACGGGAAACTATTGAGACTACCCAGGGCAGGACATGCCAGAGTACCCAAAAAGGAGAGATGCCTATTCCAGGTGAGTGATCAGGCTGCCCACCCGGCCTTTCTCTGTTGATTTCTGTCTTACTCTCACAGGCTTTGGACCTGTGTAAGTAACATTCTTTTCAAGGATGGACTACCATCTTTCTTACTAGTAAGCCAATAGGAAACCCTTCTGTCCAGCCTTCTCTCCTGTGGCCGCAGTCCTCTGACTTATATAAGTGACTTGAGCTCCAACCCCCACCTCACTCTTGGATTAGAATTGTGTCACAGTAGCTCACCAGCGTGACCTGGTGGTAATTGGTAGCCTTGGGTGCATCACAGCCCTTAGTACCCTTAAATCTTTGTTTTCCCCCTATACAGGATTAGCAGTGGGAGGCACTTTGCTTTCCCCTCAAGAACGGACTCTTGCAGAACCACATCTCCTCCTAGATGGCCAACTGCCCTGCTCGCCAGAGACTCCTCAGCTTCCCTCCAAAACTGGAGCTGAATCAGCCACCATTGGGATGGAGCAGGCTGGCCCTGAGATTCTCTCTCACCCTGAAGCATCCCTCAGGCTTCAGAATGAGGGGAAGGACCATAAGGCAGTGGGTGACTTGGAGGCTTCCATGCTGGTCTGCGATGCTTCAGAAGCTCATAAATGGCCTGGAACTGTTGAACCTTCTGCTCCCTTTATGAATCCTATTTCCTCAAGGACCAGAGATGTAGGGAGAAGACAGGTGTCTGGGAGACCAGATACTCAGGAGAGCTGGCAGCCTTCAGGCAAAGCCGGGGTGAAGACATCAGACAAGAAGTCCCTTGCCCATGAATTTTCACTAGGAATTGATACCCCAGAGACTTTTCCCAAAGCCCCTAAAGGAGGTTTGACTAAAGACAGTGAAATACAGGGCAAGGGTCCAGAGGGGGAGCAGCAAGCAAAGGCCACAGAAGTCACAGTATGTGCAAACAACAGCAAAGTCAGCTCCACTGGGGAAAAGGTGGTCCTGTGGACAAGGTAGGTGGGGATGGGGCTGTGTGTTTGAAAAGCACATGGCCCATATCCATGTTACTGATGTAGGATTAATCATGATATACTGGTTACAGGGAAGCAGACCGTGTGATTCTCACCATGTGCCAGGAGAAAGGAGCGCAGCCCCAGACTTTTCGCAACATTTCCCAGCAGCTAGGAAATAAGACCCCTACTGAGGTGAGTGGGGGGAGCCCTGCTAAAGTTTCAAACTCAAGAGGAACGAAGGAGAGGGCCTGGCAAGGGCTGTTGAACTAAGAGAAGACATCAGTGGGTCATTGTAAAGGTCTGCCTTGAGGAAGGGCTGACCTGCCAGGGTGTTTGGTAGTGGTTCTAGAGGAGAAAGGGCATTGGATGTTGAGGTTGAAGCCCCAGAGGTTCCATTCTAGCTTTGATTTAGGACACTCCTTACCCTGAGTTTCCTTGTCTATAAGGAGGATATAGCCCTGGCAAGCTTACTGTGTGGGACAAGTAAGATTGTCCAACTTGGTATAAATAATACTCATTGTTAAAGTTACTGACTCAGGTACAGGAACACAGCCATTCGCCTCTCCCCCTAGGTCTCCCACCGTTTTCGAGAACTCATGCAGCTCTTCCACACCGCCTGTGAGGCCAGCTCTGAGGACGAGGATGACGCAACCAGCACCAGCAACGCAGACCAGCTGTCCGACCACGGAGACCTTCTGTCTGAGGAGGAGCTGGATGAATGAGACTCGGAGTGTAGGTGTTCTGTGAATAGGAGCCACCCCACTGGCACCCAGTAAGGAATAGGGTGCCTGTACCTTGCTTGTATACCCCCCCGTGCTCAGTTTGCAGAGCTGGAGGAGCAAGGGCTGAGGACAAGGACAGAGGCAGGCTGAGGGTGTTCATGGCCTTCCCAGCGTCTGCCTTACTCAAGGTGTGCTATGAAGTCTTTAAAATTACTCTGTAAATAGCATTGAGGGAGAGTGGGGCTCATTTCCTTTTCTACTCTTTTTAAGCTTTTTGTCATTGTGTCTAAGGTACAGCGTTTCTAAATGTAATAAGTGCGTATGTTGTAGCCAGTCCCAGACACTGAGCTCCTGCATCCAGCACTTTTTATTCTAAACTAGTTCCTTCCTTTTCTTGGAACTTTAGTCCATGAGGCTATCACCACCCTGGTAGCACTGGGCCAGACTCTGTAGGTCCTGCAACAGCTCCTCAAGGTCGCCCTGTTCCACTCCAGCATCCATGAAGCTGGCCCAGCGCCGCAGGTCAAGTTTGGTGAGGTCCTTGGCCAAGTCTCCCAGAGTCTGATTCAAGGATGCAGAGGAGCAGAGGGCCCCAAGCACTGGGATGCTCTCCACTGCTGCAAAGAGACAGAAACGGGAAACCCGTAATTGGGTCGTTCCACTCTGAGACTCTGCCGTAGAGACAGGAAAGTCTGGGTCTTTATTGACTGGATTGTAAAGTAAACTGAGTAAGTTTTGTGCACTGCCCCCTTAGTATACCAGTACTCCAAAAGAACACTTCTCTTGAGGAACTGTAGAGTGAATAAAGGGATTTTTGTGACCTTTCTGAGTACCTTTATCCCATTAGCTACAGAGCAAAACCTCTCATGTTTGAAGTGTTCGTTTTCTTTACCTCCTACATACCTGCTCCAGTTGGGGGGTCATCCTGAATCAGACCCTGCTGGCTGAGGCTCGAAGAGAAGAGGCAAGGATAAGGAGGGAGCACCTTGCAGGGAGTCAGCAGCAGGTGGGAAGAACTGGAGATGAGAAGCGAGCAGTTGAGTAACAAAGGGTCAGGGGAAGCCTGAGGTCCGGGAGGAGAGCAGGAGCAAGCATTTTACTGACCTCCTAACTCTGGGCTGCTGCTGTTGGAAATATTGGGCCAAGACTTCTTCCCCAGTGGTACATGCGTGGAGCAGGGAGGGCAGCGGAGTCCCTGGGGTGAGCTGACTGCCAGAACAAAGCCAAAAATCACCGTTAATCTGGGGCAGCATGAAGAAGAAACTAAGATTTCTTATGACTTCAAGCCATCACCTGAACTGGGATGCTCAGTTCAGGTGATGGCTTGAAGAAAAGTGGGACAGTGCCTTGAGAGTGTCCGGGGGGCTGGGGAGAAGAGGACATGAAACAGAGGTCTGACAAGGGCTCTGAGGGCCACCAGCCCTCACCTGGTGTGGCATGCTCTGTCCAGACCCCGTAGCACCACTGACTGGGCAAAGCAGCGCGTTCCACATGAGTCCCCACACGCAGACAGTGGGACCCAGGGAGTGGTCCCTCCAAGCTGCACCAGGGCATCAGGAAGGGACTGGCTTGGAACCAAAGGGAAGGGGATGGCTGCTCCTGCTGTCACCACCTTCAAGGTAAGAACAAGATCAAGTTACAGAACTTTTTCTCAGTTCCAACCCATCTCCTCACAAAGCTTCATACCTTTTTCCCAGAGAAGGTCAGCATGTCAGCCAGCTGAACCATGGAAACCGGTGAGGAATGCAGGCGATAAGGAACAGTGACTGTGTCCAGGGCTGTAGCCAGGAGGGCACTGCAGTGGAAGGGCAGAGTGGCCTGTGAAAAGGGTGTGGAGAAGAGCACTTGGTCTTTTGGCTGGGAAAAACTGGACACAGAATACTGATGGCAGAGAGGTCTGGGGGCTTTGTGACAAAATGGTGTGTGTGGCCCAAGGCTGGACATGCACAGGACAGTGTGATCTAAGGCCACACCATAGCTGAGTTCAAGCTGAGGCTTCAAGAATAGAGCCAGTAACAGCTTCCCGTCACTAGTTGTCAGAACAAGAGCATCGAGCCTTACATCATAACGCAGGTGAGGGAAGTTGACAGGTGGGTCAGGTCGCAGTCCCAGGCTCCCACCCAAGGATAAGGGGCAGACCAGAGAGCTTTGAGCAGACAGGTGCACCAGACCAAACGCTGTGTTTAACAGACGGTAGATGTTTTTCTGGGGCTCCTGCCGAAAGAAAAGGTGGTTTGTTTTAAGAACTTCCTCACTGGGTTATCATCTCCTCGTTTCTCCTGCTGTGCCATGTGAGCTTTTCCGAAGTTGTACTTACCTGGAGACTGTAGGGACCAGGGAGCAGGCCCCAGGTTATTATTCCTCGCCCTGAATACTCATCTTGTAGCAACTCTGTGACCTTAGCACCTACCCCAGAGAAGCCATCATGCAGGTCGCACAGGATCTGGAAGCCCTGGCAAGAGGTGAATGATGAAAGATGGTAGGATGAGAAGAGTTTCTCCCTCTGTGTCCACCCTGCCACTCAGCTACCTGCAGGTAGTCACATTCCTCCACATAGAAGTGCAGCCTGTCATCCAGCTCTTCCAGGTACCTGGGTTCCTTCAGGACACTCTCCCCTTGGCCAAAAGCCTCCAGGAGACCTGCTTCGCTGTCATGCATAAACACAATCTAGGAATTATAGTATTCCCTCTTTTCCACCCCCCCACCCCCCCGCCAGATCTCTTCTTTTTGGGGAGGGCAGGGAAGACGTCCTCAAGAGCCTCTTAAACATTGGTGGGAACTCATTTTCTTCCCTCATAGCACCCCACCCCGCCCATACCCATCATGGTTGTACTCCTGAATCATACAGATGCTTCGGGGATGGAGGTGCACTCTGAGGAAGTCTGACCAGACTCTGATGCTTTCCGTGGGGATAAGTGGCTTTGGAGTTGTAGCAGTGGTGAGTGGTGTAGGACCTGAAGAAAAAGCAGAGGAAATGTGCCTTTCTCAATGTTCCTGCTCTGCCCACTTCTCCATCCTGCAGTATCTGGACAAGTCTCACCTTTGCCATTGGGAATGGCTTTGACCTTCCAAATACCATCACTACTCAGCGCTCCCTGTGAGGGATGAGACAAATCTACATTTAGTTTCAGGCAGTCTAAAGGCAAAAGATTTATCTTCCCTGATTTTGCTGGCCACACCCTACAATCTCCTTCCCGCTCTGTAGTCAGACCTTTAGGAAGAGAAGTGCTTTCTCTGCCTTAGTGGAGGCACTCTGGTTGTATGTAGCACTGGGTTTAAAAGTTCAGGGTGGGCATGCACTCTCCATCATTTTCTCCACAGAGCACGACTGCTTCAGTCTTTTCTAGTGTACTTTCCTAGGCTCCAGGGGCCCTTCTTCTGCCTAACTTGTTTCCTGAGCCCATTTCTTGTGGCTCACTTCTACTACCCCTGTAACTTCCTAATTAAACATTCTCTTTTAACTTAGAATAAAAAAGTTCAGGCCAGAGACCCTCACCTCTGCACTCAGAAGATCCTGGAGATAAGGGTTCTTGGGATAGAGTTCCTCTGTGTGTGTGGTGAGCTTCCCCTGCCTCAAAGTAATTGGAGACTGATTATAGTCAGGTTCCCTCTTTTCCAGCCTCCTGTGTGTATCTCCCACTCCTCCAAACCACAAATACCATGCTATTGCAGCATCGAGCTGTTTGTTCCAGTAGAGTCCACTTTCCTGTTTGAGGGAGCTCAAACTACCTGCACAAAAATAACAGGCAATGTTAGATCAAAACCTAGTTCTTTCCTTCAACCAGTCTTCATGTGATCACCTAACCTGCTGTCACCGTTCCTCCGGCACTTGGCGCTTCCAAGTTCTGAATATAGATGAACCGGGAAAAACCCTTGCCTTGGAGAATTTAGATTCCATCCTTTCCTTAGCTGTGGGACCTGGGGCAAAGACCCAGCGGCCTTAGGTGTGCTGTATCACTGTCTCCAAAGACAAGCAGCTCATTCCAGAGATTGCTCGTGGACGGAATAAAGTTTTGCCTTCTTGAGTACATCGGGTATTTGCATATTGTGGTTAGCTCACCCTAGGCAACATGTCTCTCTGCCCTTCAGCCTAATAAGGTTGGGGAGTGTTGAAGCGAACGGATACTAGAAACTCCGCACGCGAAAAGGGCATTGGCTGACCCCGGCCACCGCCTCACCCTTCAGATCCAGGAGGATGAGTCTCGGCGTGTACGTCTCCTGGCCGTGCACCGTTCGGCCGGTCCGGTACAAGACGTCTGGGCACAGCTCGCTTGGCGGCAACTTAGTATTGGCCGGTTCACGCAGCGCAGCATCCTGGGGAAGTGCAGAAGAACTGAACCCAGCTGTGGCAAGATGGGTCAGCCGGAAGTAAAGGCTGGACACCCCGAAAGGCTCCACTGGAGCAGCGGCCCAAAGACCTCACCTGCTGGTTCCACCAGTGTGCTCCCACGAAACCAGCAAAATGTCCCAACTGCAACGTGAGCACCTCCCGCACCCCGCCCGCCATGCCGCACAGCTCCGCCGGGTCGCAAAGCCACCGCCGCCCCTTTTGGTGCTGATTGGCTCGGCAGCTTGTGGGCGGACCCTTAAGCTCTGCGCCTGATTGGCTTACAAACACATCATTTTCCCAGAGAATAAACGATTCATTGGATTTTAGTGATACCTCTCATTCCCTCCTCTTCCTAACCAGAACTGGTCGGGCCTACCAGTGGTTGTCAGGGGGCGGGGCCCACAGCGGAAGTTACAAGCTTTCGGGCTCGCGCTCCACGCTGGAGGGTTAGTGCTGTTTTCTTGCCCTCTCACGTTGGAGACCCTGAAGGTGCTCTCCCTACTTCTTACTGCTTTTTAATTTTTTTGTCTGCTTTTGCTCTCTTTCTGTCTCTTCTCTTTTCAGCTTCAGGAAAAAATAAAACCTAGCTAGGAAAGTTGATGCTTTCCTGAAGCTTCCCACACTTCCCTTCATTCCGGTCCAAAGGCTTGGCATTGCTGATGTCTAACCCTGTGAACTGTATCTATCTATCACATTATTTAAATAAGTAGGAGCACATATTCTTTTGCGTCTGACTTTTGATCTGTATCGTTTGTGAAGTTCTTCCCTGTTCTTCAATTCGTGTACTTACAGTTTGCTTTGTTTCACAATAGTCAATTGTATGAAAATACCACAGATGATTTATTACACTGATAACATGTTAGGATTCTTTCCAGTTTTTGGCTATTAATTGCTAAAATTAACCTTTTAAAATTTTGCCTGTGCACATATTACCATGGAGTGGAATTGTTGGGTCGTAAGGTTGGATATATTTAAACATGGTAGGTTACACTAAGCTGTTTTCTAAATTTCTTTACCAATTTACAATTCCACCACCAGTGTAGGGAAATTTTCAGTAGATGTTTCGTAATCTTGCCAACATTTTAAAATTTAGATCCTTATCACCAGTTTTAATTTTCCTGGTAACCAGAACGCCAGAGAGCACCTTCTGTTATGTCTATCAGCCATTTGGTTATTCATTTTTGTAAAGCGAGTGTCAAGTCTCTCGCCCATGTTTCTTTTGGGTTATCTCTTACTGATTTTTAGGAGTGGGTACTTTATTCTGCATACAAGCCCTTTGTCAAGCTATAGGTGTTGAAAATCTCTTCTTTCACCCTGGTTGCCTTTTTGTTTCTTTAAAGGGGGTGTTTTGAAGAACAGGGTTTTTGTTGTTGTAGTTGCTTTGTCTTTTTTTGAGAGAAGGGAAGGGAGGGAAAGAAATATCAATTTGCAAAACCTCTTGCATGTATCCAGACCGAGGACAAACCGGCATGCCAGTCACTACCCTCACC